TGTCGGAGACTCTCCTGGGGCCATTTTTTTCTGTTTTCTTGTTTATTCACGCCGAAATCGATCAGAATATTTAAAATATGTTAAATAAATTTAAGATAATTCCTGTTTTTTCCTATTTCACCCAAAATAAGAAAAATAAATACAAAACATTAAATTAAGTGTTATTTTAACCATTTATTAAATAAATACATGCTTTTCTTTCTCTATATCTATTTCTTATATTATATTATGATTTTCTTGTTTATTCATGCTCGAAATTGATCACAATATTTAAAAATTGTTAAATAAATTTAAAATAATTCCTTTTTTTCCTATTTCACCCTAAAAAAAGAAAAATAATTACAAATCTTATAATTGAGTGTTATTACAATTCTAAAATATTCCGAATATAAATAAAAGAAGGAAAACATATTATATAATAAAAGAAATAGATGTAAGAAAAGAAGAAGTATAAATTTAATAAATTGGTACAAATCTTATAATTAAGTATTATTACAATTCCAAAATATTTCGATCGATTGCGAGCATAAATAAACTAGAAAATCATATTATATAATGCAAGAAATCAACATGATAAAAAAGGAAGTATTAATTTAATGAATAGAGTAAATACCACCTATTTTGAAGATTCGTAACCACTTTCCTTGTATTATGATGAAATAAGAAAAAAAAAGAATTATTTCCAATTTTCGAAAAAATTCCAAAATATTTCGATCGATTCCGAGCATAAATAAACTAGTAAATCATATTATATAATATAAGAAATAAATATTATAAGAAAAGTAAGTATTTATTTATCAAATGGTGAAAATAACACGTAATTTAATGTTTTGTAATTATTTTTCTTATTTTAGGATGAAATAGGAAAAAAAAGGAATTATTTTAAATTTATTTAACAATTTTTAAATATTCTGATCAATTTCGAGCATGAATAAACAAGGAAATCATAATATAATATAAGAAATACATATAGAGAAAGAAAATTAAGTATTTATTTAATAAATGGTGAAAATAACACTGAATTTAATGTTTTGTAATTATTTTTCTTATATGAAGGTGAAATAAGAAAAACAGGAATTATTTTTAAATTATTTAACAATTTTTAAATGTGCTGATCAATGTCGAGGATGAATAAGCAAGGAAATCATAAATAATATAAGAAATAGATATACAGAAAGAAAAGTAAGTATTTATTTAATAAATGGTGAAAATAACACTTAATTTAATGTTTTGTAATTATTTTTCTTATTTTAGGATGAAATAGGAAAAAAAGGAATTATTTTAAATTTATTTAACAATTTTTAAATATTTTGATCAATTTCGAGCATGAATAAACAAGGAAATCATAATATAATATAAGAAATAGATATAAAGAAAGAAAAGCAAGTATTTATTTCATAAATGGTTAAAATAACACTTAATTTAATGTTTTGTATTTATTTTTCTTATTTTTGGGTGAAATAGGAAAAAAAGGAGTTATCTTAAATTTATTTAACATTTTTTAAATATTCTGATCGATTTCGAGCGTGAATAAACAAGAAACCAGAAAAAAAATGGCCCCAGGAGAGTCTCCGACACAATATTCTTAATTGAAAATCTTTATTTTGTATCAGGAGAAGAGGAAGTAGCAGGAGCTATCATTTCGGAGCGGTCCTGATACCGATGGTGCTGCTATCTGTTGGCAGAACATAGGAACTACGAATTTTATTCGAATTTATAGCGAGAAATTCTTCGATTTCTATTAGGATATTAGGAAGCCACAGGAGCTCACTTTTCGAGTCGACCAGGAGTCTTTGTAGTGCTACTATCTAGCGGCGGCTTCTAGAACTACAATTTCGATGCTTCCTTGGATGGTGCTGGCCTCTTGCGGCTGTTTTAACAACTACGTACGAGTTTCGTGTTCAATACAATAGTCCCTGGATAGTGCTGTTACCTTGCGGCAACTTTTAGAACTAAATGCCGATTTCGTGTTCCCTGTACGGTGCTGCACTCTTTTAGCGGTTTTTAAAACTATCAGTGCATTGTATACGTTTATTGGATGGTGCTGCTCTCTTTTATTAGGTTTCAATACTATTATTCAAAATATTTGTTCAGTAAGGCTGTTATATCCATTCAGTTTCGGAAACTGTTATTCGATCTTCGTTTTAACTTATCAATGGTTAATAAAATTGTTATTTACGTATTGAGTCACTGTTTAAATGTTTAATTATTTAATTCTTAACGGGACCTTTAAAACCTACCATAATGTGTGAAGAAGTTAAAATTGTGTTTAATAAATTCTGATTTATTTTTTTACTAAAGTTTATTGTTGTGTTCCTTATAGTTAGTGTCCGATTTTCTTATATCTTAAGTAATACATTATTTCGTAATGTTTTTCTCATTATAAATAACAGAATTTAGTTTAATTATTTATCGCGAGTTTTTAATAAGTATACATTGTGTGTAAAATGAAGAGATCTAGTGAAATCAACAGTGAACTGTATTTATAAATATTATTATGGATATGTAATAGTTTTGTTATGTACTTTAAATATATTGTAAAACATAACAGAAGAAAAAGGTGTTTCTCTTGAATGTACAGAGTAAGTGAAATTCTATATGCATCTAGAGTTATCAACTGTTGACTGTGTTTTTAAAAATATTATGGATATGTAATAGTTATGTATTTTTAAATATGTTAAAACAATGAAAGAAAACAAATAAATGTGTTCCTGTGAAGAGTTCTTTATAGTTTATCCCATTCTTCCTTAGCAATGAAACACTTTGCTGCTCATTTCTTTATGTACTGTTACCTACAGATTTATAATATTTTAATGTATATCTGATTCATATTAAAACATTTAGTTAAAATTGTTAATGGTATTTCATTTTCTATCTATTAAATTATTCGTGCTCGTTGAGAATAAACCACTCTTGGTTTTATCATTCTATGTTATTTCAAATTTTGACACCAGCTTGCAATTAAAATCTTATTATATTCTCCTTTTATTTTGATTTTAGTTGATTGACTGTGATGTATATCATGAGGTAAATAAACTAACTTCAATCATTATTTAATTACAAAAGCCAGCGTTTTAATGCAAACTCATAGGTCTTCATCAAGGATGAAATTATATGAGATATACAAGTGATATAGATATGTGTTTAGTATAAAGACAGAAGTAAATAAAAAACAAGTTAATAAGCAAGCTAAGGATAAAGACAATACAAGAGACACAAATATAAATAATATTAGAGATACATATATTTAACTTCTTGTATGTCTCATTTTATCTTAATTTACTTTTATTACATTTCTTTTAATATCAAAGAAAAGGAAGGTAGAAAAAACACCAGACTGGAGTCCAAAAGTTATTCTTTAATAATAAATTTGGGTTGTAATTTATAAAACTTTTACACAAGTTTATTTATTATGTATGTTACAAAATGACAAACATGATTTAACAAAAATAAACATAACTACTTACATTACACTACATTTTACCCATTTGAGATATATTTACTATTTAAAGAATATAAGTACATAAGTGAAAATGATTCAAATTGATGAAATAATTATTAAAACATTCTTTTATTTATTTTATAGTAATTACAAATATTTAATAACATGTATAATTTCAATAACAATAGCATAATTATCACAGTTATAAGCAAGAAATTACATGAATGATTACAATACTGAATATAACAATTAAATGACAGATAATTACAATAAATAATACAACAAATAAATTACATGAATAATTACAATAATGAATACGAAATTATATTAAATGAATAATTACTACTATAGAATGAAATGACAAATTGTAATGACTCTCTTGAAATGAATAATTTTCTTGATTTTATGTTTACTGAAGTTCTTCATCCATATTGGAAAGTATACAAAATTTTGTTCTGAAACCAGACATGTGTTGCTTGCTTCTCAGGGTGATGGTTCCAGGCTTCTGATTAAGATTACATAGTTGATGACTGCACGTCGCCAATTGGGAGTCTTGAAAAGATTTATTTTTCTGATGTGGATTCAACTGAAGAAGTTTTACAAGAGAGGATATCTTGTTTCATTTGTGAATTATTCGTCAATGGCCTCATTCGCATTGATGCCATGTTTTTTCCAACAGCAGTGTAGTTCATCATTTCCAACTATCCTTTTCAAGAACTTAGAAATCAGCTACATACCTAAAAAAAAATAATAATAAATATATATGAATTTGATAAATAAATGTGAGTTCTTTTTTGTGTATTAAATTTTTTAAAAATTAAATGTGAAGTATTGAAAATTATTGTTTCATTGTAATTAAATTTTTATATTACTTAAGTTTTTAAAAATTATAATAATAATTCTTTTATGTAAACATACAAATATTTTAATTGTTATTGGCTTTATTGCAATTTATTGTGGTATGAAACAGTATTGAGCCCAGTAAAAGTTCAGTTGGACTTTTTAAGAGAAAAAGTGCAATGGATGATTAAGAGAATGAGTATTATGAAAGATATGCGGGGAAGCAAGAATTTTTCTTTTTGAAGGAAGACTTGTTTTTAGTATAAATATGAATGATTACCATTTGATATGTTTCCTCTAAAACGATTATGGATGGCATTTCGTCAAGCAAAGTTTTGATCTCCATATGAATGTTGTAACCCACATACACTTCTTTATATAATAATAAGTTTATTTAAATGATATTTTACAATTTACAAATATGTACATAATAATTGTTCATGGTTTGGTTATACAATATTTCACACTAAAGATACTATTAAAATTATTAACTTAAGTACCATTCCTTTGTTTGACAGTAAGAAAAACTAATAAAATACCTACATACAAAAATAGATTAATAAATGAAAAATAATAATAATAATAATGTAAATAAAAATTAATATATAAATAAAGTAAACAATAATAATAAGATAAAAACTAGGTACATTTAAATAAAAATATATATTATATATGTTAATTAATCTAGACTAAACTAAAATAAATATTCTATGAATACCTTATACAACTTGTAGTTTACTTGGACTGTTCTGTATTCTTGAGACCACACTGTGCTGGAAAAAAAATATTATATTATATCACAAATTAATAAAATTTGAAAATTAATTAAAATTCAAAGAAAAATATTTTTTAATGTTGAAATAAATGTCTATTTCAATTGCTGAAAACCAAACAACAATATAATGAAGTAAAACAAGAACTGCTTACAATTGTGTAAGTTGAAAAAAAAAAAATATATTAACTTTATAAATACAAAAAGATTAAAATAGAAATATGATTGCCCATAGCTAAATAAACTTAATACAAAAAATTAACTTCAAAGATTGAGATGTAAGACTTTTAACATTAGCATTTGTGATAAAATTAATTCAAACACTTCAGTTGCACTTGAGTAATGTATGAAATGGATTCTTGTTAGAGGATGATCTCTTTTAAAAAAACAAAACCATTAAAAAATTTAAAACCACTTCATACCTTCACTATTTATAAAAAAAATATTTATTAACTTAAAAATTTTAGTAAAACTTCACAAGTATCACTCCTGACATGGTGGCTGGAGCAAGATCATAAAACAGACAGAATTCCAAAAAAGGTCAAGTATTGACGATTACATTTTGATTTCCATTCACTCAAAAAAATAAACGAACCCTCAACAGCCCATTTACGATGAAGAATAGTCGTTTCCATCTGCTTTCGGACACATTTGGCCATTTTCAGAATAACATCTAATTTCGGTTCAGCCACCATGTTGAAGAGACACTTGTGAAGTTGTATAAAAAAATTTCAACAGATTTCTTATTATTTATATAAATACTTAGTGGTCAAAGAATTATATTTGTCTATATCTACATACTACAATTACAATTATTATTCTCACCATAACTTTACACTTCCTAAGGACCATAAGTACTTAGCTAATCACTAAATTGGTGTACAAATTCACAGCATAGCAACCAACAGTCTTCTTTTCCATTTTTTTCTCTCTCGTTGAAAAGCTTAAACTAGCTAAAAGATAGTTTAAGGTAGTTCTGGGTTCAAGATCATTTGAGAGATCAATCGCTAGAAAGAAAAATAAATATAAATAAAAACGTTACAAATTTAAAACTAAGATCAAATAGTAATAGAAAATCCAAAAGCCGTCGAATGTCAACAACTATTTTCACAAATGGGCTCACTACTTTAGCTCAAGTCCTTTTCAGTTAAGGTCATGGCCAAGACAATAGATCATTCATCTCCGTAAATTGCCAAACACACTTGGCTACTTACGGGTTTCTATGTATAGAGTGATCAATATGATCTTAACAAATCTGTCAACCAGATATGACATTTAAGAACTAGTAATAAAATTTTAATAACTTAATTTAAACATAAATATAATTATAAAAATCTTAGATCCCATCCTCCTCCCGTGTTATAAACTTAACATACTAATATAAGATAATAATGTGATAAAATAATTATTTCACCTGAGAATCCTCAACATAGACAGTAGATGAGCATTTTGGAGAACTAACACCATCATGAGATAAAATGCATAATTTAGATATACAAGAGCGAGAGATAAGATGGAAGAGCTCAGGGCAATGTAAACTGTCCTTTATGATATGATATACTATACAATCTTGACTCTGCTGTACCATGAACCCAAATATCAGAGAATTCCATTTAAGAGAATGACAGTAAATACAAATATCATATTTAAATACGTATGGGTTGACTGGAAACCATGAAATATTGGTATATACGTTTTTATTTATTCATAAATATTTATTTGGTTGGGGAACTTACCTATATTTAACTAATTGGCTAACAAATGATAATTTTGCTTCCTTCCAGGTATGAAAATTTATTCTGTAACTGTTAGATTTTTTATTAACTACGTTCTTTAACCTGGAAAGGATGGAACTTAAAATTTCCTCCTCTTGCAGCGTAACTTTTGCCATGATTTCGAAATTTGAATTAAAATCACTAAAATAATTTGTAAACAAACTAAGGGAGAAGGTTAAACACTGTTATAAAAGCGTCTGATAAGTAATCGATAAGTGTCCGATATTTATTGAAATCCAGTAAAGATCATACGATAAGCCCGTCCTTGAGTTATAAACTATTAAATCTATAAAGTACCTATAAAGACATAATCGTACTGAATTACAAATTTGTTAAATGGCTATTCTAAGACACAAATACTTGTTTTTCAATCCAATTAATTCGTAAATACACGCAAATCATGAGTGACAGCCTTGACAGATGACCTCTTTGAACATGCAGTTATCACCATTATCGGTGATAATGTTCTTATCTTTGAAGGTTGGGAAGAAATGATAATAATAAATTTTACAACAAACACCATCGCCTATCACTATGGAATATTAATATAGCATCTAATCGGCGTTTTAAATTTTTAAAATTTTGGTATTATAGTTCAACATTTAAAATGGGAGGCAAACTTTCCAGTTTGGATCCAATGGAGGTACCTGTGCCAGAGTTACACTTGCTGCTAGAAAGGGATCCTTATTTAAAGCCTCATGAGAGGGAATTCCGTCGAAGGCAAGACTTTATTTATCTATTTTTTTTATCATTTAGTAATAAATTTATAGTTAATATGTATCATTTAAGGAAAGAATTATTTTATAGCCAACCAAAGCATCCGATGCTTTTAGTAAGTAATTTATAATATAAATAATAGGTTTAAAATTCAATTTGTATAACCTATAGATTAATGAAAGATTTACCATTAGTTGGATCGGCAATATGTAGAGTCAATAAAAATAATATTATGTAATGTATGTGTTGTTTACATTGTAATTCTGTTCAAATCATGTAGTATCATTTAGTTAATTATTTTATGTAAATTATAATTGCAGAACTTTCTTAGGAAGGGTGAAACCACTCTTATCTAGCTTCGATATATTACCTACTTATGTGCACCACCTGCTGTGACAGGAATACAGTACTGCTATACAAATGTCACTTCACTTTGACAAGTGGGCTTAGATTTCATATTCACACTATAAATAGGATAACAAGGATCGTTATTTAGAACGTTTTTATTTATATTTATTTTCATTTCTAGCGATTGATCTCTCAAATGATCTTGAACCCAAAACTACCATTATAATTAGTTCTTTGAGCTTTTCAACCAGAGGGGAAAAAATCGAAAAGAAGAATGTTGGTTGCTGTGCTACGGATTTTTACACCAATTTAAAGATTATCCAAGTGCTTAGGGTTCTCAGTAGAACTTCGGCAAACTCTCTACTACTCTTTCCATTTAAAATTATAATAAGTTTTTATTAGTTAATTAGCTTTATCCAGACAGTTAAGTAGGCGTAACTACATTACTGTTAACTACATTGACTTCCATTCACTCAAAAGGAATAAGCGAACCCTCAATGGAGTTCTAACCAGACGGTTCGGTCATCTCCGCCTACTTTTGAATACACTCACTCTGCCATTCTCAGAATTCCATTTAATGTGTGATCATGATATGTGTTGCCACCCATCAAAGTGGAGTGACGCTCGCATAATAGTATCAAAAATTGAGTTTAAAAGTCATTTTTACTCAATAAAAATGACAGGCTAATATAAATTAAGGAACTTCTCATGACTCTTCGTTGAGCTTAAAAATTTAAAAAGTAACAACATCATCTTGTATTCTTTATAGAGCCTTAAACACAGATGTATGTAAAATATTTAATTATATTAATTTACTTTTGAGCAGTTTAGAATATGCAAAAAACTTGATTTTGGTTCTTGTTGACACTAGTGTCCACCTCGACTCAATAACTTAAATTAATTTGAAGAAATATTCAATGTTATCTGTAATTGGAAAACTTTGAATTACTTGAACTTAATAACATGACAAATGCATTAATAAGCATTACTTGAAACCATTTGAATATGATTACTTTTACTGAAATCATTTAAATATTTTTTAGAAGTTGGTTATGAAATCATTATATATAAGAAATGCAATATCTATAAGTATAAAGTAGCTATTTATAAAGTAAATTGTACGACTTAACATTTGTAAAGTATACTTTTGTATTATTATAACTACTTTTATTGGCTTTAAGACTAAGATTTGACATTTTGTTTAATTAATATATATTTTATTATTATTATTGGGACTATTTTCTTATATTATTATTGGGACTATTTTCTTATATTATTATTGGGGATATTTTCTTCTAAATATTTCTGTTTTATGGGTTTATTTATTTTTATTAGATTAAGAATCTATACTAATTTAATCTTAATGAAATATTAATAACTTATACTTATACATTTATTTTTATCAATAGATATGCAGTTATGTCAGATAGTTTGGGAAGAATCGAAAATGATTTTGGAGGTTATGATAAATTCTTGAGGGCTTACCGTGAGTATGGCATGCATGTGAATCCTGATAATTCAGTGCAATGTATCGAGTGGGCTCCTGGTGCGCAGCAGCTCTTCCTCACTGGAGATTTCAGTAAATATAAATTTTGGAAAAAGTAAGACATTTTTAATGTTGAATATTAACTTCATTGGTTGATTTCAGATCAATGGAACAAAACTAGTCATCCATTTACTAAATGCGATTTTGGCTTATGGAAACTTACAATCCCACCAGATGACAAGGGTCACTGTAGAATCTCTCATTTGTCTGAAATCAAGGTTAGTTAGCTCTATTTTAATTGACAAGCATGTTTACTAGACTTGGATAAGTTGAGAAATTTTATAAACTAGGATATCTGAGCACAAATTTGCTTTTATAATTCAGAATTATTGTTGACTATAAACTTGGGTTGCTGTCTAAACCTAGTCCCACCAGATTATCCTTAAAGCAATTCTTCCATCTTTGCTTAGGTCTACCTATCGGACGTTCACCATTCGGCACAGCACTTATTACCCTGTTAGGAATTCTTTCGTTATCTCCTCGGCGTATTCTGTGATTTGATTAGCAAGATAAAAATTGGTCCTCACTTTATAAATATACAGTACAGGCCTTAAAGTGTAGGAAATACTTAGTCGAACAATTTATTTTTAATTGAATCCTGGATCTCAATATATAAATATGAAATTTATCGCTTCATATTTTACTTATTTTTTATTTATTTCTTGGCCATAATTTTAAACAGTGTATCTAGTATGAATAGTATAAACCACAAACTCTTAGTAATATATTTGTTGTTGTCATTAAGTAGTAGTTGGTATTATTGTTGAGTGATATGTTTTCTCAATTTTGCTTGTATAATTATAATTATAATGTAATGTATTTGTAACTTGAAAAAAAAAAGATAATAATAATAATTGGTATAATTAAACATGAAAGGCAAAGACCCGACGGACGGACAATGTCCATGTCATGTATGTTAAAAAAAAAAAAAATATATATATATAGATGTTAACAAAAAAAATATTTGTATTTATTTTTGAAATTTTATGTTATTCTGATTAATAATAACGATGAGATGCATTTTGTGTATGGGGACTCTACACCATCATTTACCGCATTGAAATTTTGGGCAGCTGAATTTAAACATGGCTGTAAGAGCTTGGGAGGCGATGAGCGTTCGGGACGTCCAAAAATTGCAACATAGTCAAAGTTCACCAACTAGTGCTAGATAACCGCCGAATTAAAGTGAGAGAGATAGCAGAGGTCTCTATTGAATTTGAACATGTCAAAAGAATTTGTTTGTTACATATTAAATTAACATTTAGATGTGAGAAAGCTGTCCGCACGTTGGGTGGACTGCAAAGGGGGAACCGGCTCCAAAAAAAGCAAGAACGGTTTTCTCGGCTGGAAAAGTGATGGCGACTGTTTTTTGGGATAGTCATGGAGTTATTTTAATTGACTATCTTATCTATGCATCAATAGTTGACAAGCTGAAGGCAGAACTTATGGAAAAACGGCCACATTTGCAGAAAAAGAAAATCCTATTTCACCAAGACAACGAACCGTCGCACACCTCAACGGTTGCCATGTCGAAAATCCACGGATTACGGTTTGCACTGTTTGACCATCCGCCTTACTCACCAGATCTATCAAATCTAGCCCCAAGTGACTTCTTTTTGTTCCTTTATCTAAAAATTGCGCTCGGAGGACAGAGATTTTCGTCAAATGAAGAGGCAATCTCCTTTGTGAACAATTATTTTGCAGAGAAAAACGCTGAGTACTTTTTGGACGGGTTACAAAGATGGGAGCATCGCTGGGAGAAGTGTGTAGAGTTACAAGGATACAGTTGAAAAAAAAAAAAAAAAATCAGAAAAAATGTCTTGTATTTTTGTTAGGTCGGAAACGTTTCAGACCACCCTTGTATTATTGTTATTAAAATCTTTTTCTTGAAGTATAGCTTTTATGGTTTTCCTTTTGAAAGTTTATATTTATAGCTTTTTCTTAAAGTCAGTTAATTTTAATGTTTGTAGCTATTCAAATTAATTCTAATAATTATTTACTAAATTTCAGATTGTGGTTCAAACACAGAGTGGGGAGCTTGTCCATAGGATATCTCCCTGGGCCACCTACGTTGTGAAGCCTCCTATCACGGAAGGATTGACGTACAAACATTTATTTTGGCACCCTCCTGAATCAGAGGTATTAGATTTTAAAATTGCGCTCATTATGATTTCATTGAAATTCTATAATGAGTACTTCTTTCAGTTTATAAAATATATTCTGTTTGATTTTCCATTGCTTATACTGAAATTTTATTTTGACTTGTTATTAGAGGTATACTCTAAAAAATAAGAGACCAGAAAAACCTCAAAATATGAAAATATACGAATCACACGTAGGAATAGCCACTAGTGAATATAAAGTTGGAACTTATTTGGAATTTGCTCAAAACACTGTTCCTCGTATCGTTAAGCTTGGTATTTAGTTCTTATTAAGCATTTTTATTATCATTTTATTTTAGTTTTTTTTTTTTGTACATTATTTATTTTAATTAGGTTACAATGCTGTACAAATCATGGCTGTAATGGAACACGCTTACTATGGTAGTTTTGGATATCAAGTTACCAGTTTTTTCGCTGCTTCTAGGTAGCTTTACAACTTTTTTTTAATATATTTTTATTTGTCACTAAATCTGATAACCATGATTGTTAATCAATGATTATAATTAACGATTATTAAATATGATAGTGGATTATAATATAAATATCTTAGGGATATTGAAAGACATTTTCAGATACTTCTGAATAAAATTTTTTTTTTTTTGTTTAGGAATTTAAAACCACACTATTTTATTAGTATTTTTACTCAATTATTATTTTTCAAGTTAGAGGATGGATAGGTTTGTTAAAAATCTTATCAAATATTGATTGACACTTAACACATATTCGTCCGCATGAAAAAAATTTGTCATTTCTGTATTACAGAAAATAATCGATTCTTGTTCTTTTAATTCTAAATTGAGCTACCACTATTTCCAGTGTCCTTGACTGTGGCAGAATATAATATTACTCAATAGCGAAATGTTTTAATTCTAAATAAATTAAATTCCAATTTTTACCAAACAAAGAGATGCATTTTGTGAACGGCGGTGCCAAAAATTATCGGACAAATATGTGTTAAGTACCAATTTTAGGTGTATTTCTTTTCTCCACATACATAGATTTTTGAACTGATAAAAACGAATTTAAGACAGATTTGTATCTCTACTACTTTTGCTGCATATTGTTTTATTTTTCATGTTGTAAATTTTATTAAGGATCCTTTCAAAATTTTTTAAAATGCAATGGTATTGTAAATAATTATCTAATATAATTATTGAACATAATAAATAAATATTTTGTGATTATTTTCAATATGTTGTAAAAACTTTTGCATTCGATGTTTTAAATGATTTATAATACTTTATATGAGAAGGAGTTAGTCGAGGGTGCGGTCAAATAAATAATAAATTAAAATATATTAATTATTTTAATTTTTGCCGACGTTTCGACCCACTTTGCAGGTCATCTTCAGAGCTTCAAAAGATACAAAACATGTTGAAAATAAAAAATAAATATAAGTATATATAAAATAAGAAGAAGTTGTCAGATACAGAAATAAAAGATGGTATCAGAGATATAGTGGGTGACAATGTAGTTAAATATTAAGAATTATATATGTAGAAGATACAAATAAATGGAAAATAAGTATGAATAAAAATAAAAATAAAGGAGAATATAGCATGTTATTTTTATTTTTATTCATACTTATTTTCCATTTATTTGTATCTTCTACATATATAATTCTTAATATTTAACTACATTGTCACCCACTATATCTCTGATACCATCTTTTATTTCTGTATCTGACAACTTTTTCTTATTTTATATATACTTTTATTTATTTTTTATTTTCAACATGTTTTGTATCTTTTGTAGCCCTGAAGACGACCTGCAAAGTGGGTCGAAACGTCGGCAAAAATTAAAATAATTAATATATTTTAATTTATTATTTATTTGACCGCAGCTTCGACTAACTCCTTCTCATATTATATCAACGGTCAACCATCTCTACATCATTATAATACTTTATACTCACCTATTACTTTTTATATGTTTCAGTCGTTACGGGACACCTGAAGAATTGAAGAAGATGATTGACGCGTGCCATGAAGCTGGTCTATATGTTCTATTAGACATTGTTCATTCGCATGCTTCCAAAAATGTTCTCGACGGATTGAATTTATTCGATGGAACCGAGGCTTGTTATTTTCATTCAGGTCCTAGGGGGACTCATTCGTTATGGGATAGCCGATTATTCGATTATTCTCAGTAAGTTTATATACTTCTGAATATTTTAAAAATTGATGTTTATATCATATTAATTTTTTTTTATAAGGAGTGTCATCTAGTGTGTTGGACACTGTACTGAAAAAACCTGACTCAAATTATAATTATGCATTTTCTAATGTCTCCTGACAGGAAATTATTGGGCTTTATCTTTAATTCTTCAAACACTTAAATTAGATTGTTGAGACGGCCAACTCAGTCTTTAAAGCCTTAACTGTAAAATCCTTTAAACAAACAATAAAAATATTTCTGGTATTAATAAATTAGTTAATAATTAAAAGAAATTCTTAATTTAATGCTCCTCTTTAGATAGTAGAATATTAAAATCGGATCATTTAGTACGATTGTACCAGCAAAATCAGTATAATTTTATATTAAGAAAATGGTACTTTAAGGCAGTTACAAATAAATCTAAGTAATCTTATAAACTATTCATAATTACTTATATATGTATAGTTTATAGATATTGCTTTGCAGACAATTTAAAATTATATGAACCTTTCAGTTGGCAGAATAACTCCAATGTCAATATTTTTGAGTAAAGTCATTTTAGTGATATTTCTATTCTGAAAAATTATAATAACTGAACAGACAGTGCAGTAAGTTGATTCCTGAGTAGGTGATTACAGTGTTGAAATATAGATCTGTGAATAAAGTTATAAATTTTAACACTGGAAATATCACTAAAATTCATTATAAAAAAATGTTGAAATTGGAAATTGGTTATTTGGTCAACTGAAAGGCTCATATTGTATTTGTTATGATTTATATTACATATATATTAATAAGTAAATGATTTATAGTCGTATGTGACTTTAGAATAATTTGTTTCTTATCGTTTCAGGCCTGAGGTAATGCGATTTTTACTCTCTAACTTATTCTGGTATTACGAAGAATATGGCTTTGATGGATACAGGTTGGTAGTATAATTATTCATCATATTTAATTATCGGTTGTGGATTTTATGAACTTTTGTTATCAGACACTAAAACAGTTAGGTATTCATCCAAATACATATGTGCGTATCAATAGACTGGACTAGTTTTTGGATAGTCCTAAAAATTAACTTTAAAATTTGAAATATACTGTATATGAGTTGTTTAGTATCATAACCCGGCATATCCAAATTTGATAAAAATAGTTTTATTTGAATAAAGTGCAGTTAAAAAGTCCCTGTATCAATAATTCAAAGGTAATTGATCAAAATCCACTAGATCTCCAAAAAATTGAACATAAAATTTTTAAATCAGAACTGTAAAATTCACTAGAGTCTTGATCTTTCTCATTGTTTAGTGTAAAAGCTGTCGAAAATAGTGCATCTCTTGAACTATCATCCATCCTCTAGAAATGAAAATTCATTACTAAGTAATCTATGGTAGTGAAGATGAGAATAAAGAATAAAAAATAAATTTCTACCATTCAGTTCATGGCAGTGATCAATTTTCTGCTAAAGTAAGCAAGCGTTGAAATTAAAAATTCACGCATTTTAAAAGACCACTCTGAGAACTCTGTTGAAGATGGCATTTAAACTGTGACCAAACTTCAATCAATATTTTCTAAGTTTTTGTCCCGCTGTAAAATTTAGAAAATAGATTAATGGGTTTTAAATTTTAAACAACTCATATATTTTACACAGATTAACGTAAGTTTTTTAAATTAATTTTTTTTCTCTATCCGTTGTTTGGTCTATTTATCATTATTTTGAATTTTTTGCCAGTATATATTTTTCTGTCATTTAATTCTTTTTATCAAGCAACTAATATATTTCAGAGATTAAAATTGTAAGGATAAAAAATAGTGTGCAGTCAAAAAATTATATTTATAGAGTTTGTAAACATTTCGACCGACATGTTTGGCAAACCCAATAAACATAATTTTTTGACTGCACATCCTGATCATTTTTCATCCTTATTATATGTTTCTTTTAAAAAAATCAAATGAAACTAATAAGGCTGCATTCATTAGTCCCAATTCATGTTTGAATTTTTTTTTGTTTTTAATTTTATCTTTTCGTCTCAGATTTGATGGTGTTACATCTATGTTATACCATAGCCATGGTATGCAAGGATTTTCTGGCGATTATAATGAATATTTTGGTCTCGGAGTTGACACTGATGCTTTAATTTATTTAATGCTCGCAAACAGTTTATTGCATAAGTTTCATCCTAATGTTATTACGATAGCTGAGGTAAAGTAATTGTTTGAATGAAATAATATTGCATGCTTTATGTTACGTATTCCATGAAAATAGGTGAATTGTGTCTACTTTTATGAAAATCAGTTGAAAAAGAAATCCATGGTTTATTTATTTATAACTTATAATTGTATGTCTTTGTAACAACTTAAACTTAAAAAAAGTTAGTTTAAATGGTATATTTTTCTTCGATAAATTATGTCCCACCAAACATTAATGCTTTTTTTTTTTTTTTTTTTTTCTTCAATATGAAATTATGTTTAAGTAGAGGGAGCGAGAGAAATGATTCTATGTGTAATATTTTCTAAAATTTGGTGGAGGGGTCATTCTTATGTGTAAGGTTTATAAAAAAAAGCTTCTTAGAGAAAAAAACTTACAAAATTTTATTATTTAATTTTATTATTTATAAAAAAAATTTTATAAAAAAAATATAAAAAAATAATTAAGATTAGTTGTAATAAATTTGTAAGAATTCAACTATCGCTACCAAATAAATTTTAAACAAGATGAAAAGTGTGTTAAAAATAAATCACCTTCACAGACCTATAAAACAAACTTATTTTCTGTAAAATTGTTAGTTACAACAGGCAACAACTTAGAGAAGAATTCATTTAAAAAGTTTGTTCTGAGTGCTTGAAGAGATATTTATTTATTTAAAAAATTTATAAAATCACAAAACGCTTTCTGTTTTTCAGGATGTTTCCGGTATGCCAGCATTATGCAGGCCTGTGTCTGAAGGTGGCGTCGGCTTTGATTATCGCCTTGGCATGGCAATCCCTGATAAATGGATTGAATTATTGAAAACTAAAGCTGATGAGGATTGGAATATTGGAAACATTGTACATACTCTTACGAACAGAAGATGGATGGAGAAAACCATAGCGTATGCAGAATCTCATGATCAGGTAGATATAAACAGTGCTTTTACTTGAAAATTTACTTTAATAAAACTGGATGATTCGGAAAATTATATTCTGGACTTTCTTTGTATATTACATGAACCAACGAAATTATCTAGCTCGCTTAGTTGAGATATTCAATCAACAGTATGATTGCTCATACAAAACTGTATCATAACATGCTACAGCAATATCATAATATGAGATATCGGTAATCTTTTTGGTGAATACAGACAAAATTTAATTCTTGAAATTTGTTGTCAGCAATATTACAATATTTGAAGGTTACATACTATCATTTATTATACCAAGACTTCATTCTAAGACAATTTTTTTTTCTATCTTAGGCTTTGGTTGGTGATAAAACCATCGCTTTTTGGTTAATGGATAAGGAGATGTACACTGGAATGTCTCTCATATATGGATCTAATGATATAATTGAACGGGGCATTGCTCTGCATAAGATGATAAGGTTAATAACACATGCTCTTGGTGGAGAAGGATATCTTAATTTCATTGGTAATATAATTAAAGAATCTATAATCTAAAAATATCTATATAACCTAATGATTTTTTGGCTCGAAAACCATAAATCTGTTTTTTATGTTTATCATAACAATTCTTTCAGGCAATGAGTTTGGACATCCTGAATGGTTAGATTTTCCCCGAGAAGGTAATCAAGAATCGTACCATTACTGCAGGCGACAATGGAACCTAGTCGATGACGAAACATTGCGATATAAGCAATTAAATGACTTCGATATAATAATGAATCACACTGAAGAAAAGTACAAGTGGCTTCAAGCTCCTCCAGTAAGTACATTTTAGTAGATAAGTGTTATTCAGAATTGTGTTGTTTTGTTCAGGTTGATATGTTACGGTTGTAATAAGATTCAAAGTTATCAAAATTTTTGAACAATAAAATGTTAATTAATCCATTTTATATAGAAGGCTATCCAACCTTCAGTAATTATCAGCTTTTTGGAAATGAAAATATAATTGTTTGATATTATATAGATGCTTTTTTAACCAAGTTTAATCCAACTTTCATTAAATTAATTAAATTGGATTTTTACTTCTTTTTTAAACAGCTTTAGATTTTTAGACTCAATGAATTTTAAAAAAGTTTAATAATTGTATCATTCGAAATTTTATTAAGAATTTCAAATTTCAATGTAATTTATCTTATTTTTTCTTTTCGAATAATTTAGTTTTGATTTAAAAAAAACAAGAACTAAATGATGTTTTGGATCCATTTTTATTATAAAACCTTATACTACTTTTTTATTTAATTCTGGCAAAGATGCATTGAGGTTTCTTTGAGGCCTATTGTAATGAAAGTGAATTCTAGCTGCTATTACTGCAGCATATTTACTTATTCCTAGAAGATAATTACATGATCTTAACAATATAATATGAACAACATGTTTTGTTAATTTTCCAGGCCTACGTTAGTTGGAAACATGAAGGAGACAAAGTGATAGTTTTTGAAAGAGCTGGTCTTGTTTTCGTATTCAACTTTCATCCGACTCAAAGCTTTCCAGGATACCGAATCGGAGTAGACATCGCAGGAACTTACGTAATTGCCATATGTTCTGATGATAAGCAGTTTGGAGGTTTCGATAGAATTGATAAAAGCATAAAATATGAAACCCAAAACTACTCGCATGCTAACAGGAAATATTCTTTTGAAGTAAGTGTTTTTTTACAATAATGTAAATTGCTTACAAATTGAATTGGACCACTTACCAAAATATATAGTTTTGTAATTAAATACATACTTATCTTTCAAGTGCTTTAAAGAAGAATTCAATGAGATTAAGATAAAGCAGTGACAATTTTATAATGTTTTATTCATTGCTCTCATTTTTTTTTTTTTTTTAATCAATGGAATAACTTAAGTATTATTCTGCAAAGCCATAAAAGATTTCACACATTCATATTAGAAAACTTTAAGATAATTTAATTTTTTTCTAAGTAGTGTATACATGCAAAATGCCAACTCTTATTTATTTTTATTGTTATCAAAATATTTTAACAGATTCTTTTAGTTTAAATTTCACATATTTCTCATTCTTTTTCAGATTTACATACCTTCCAGAGTCGCACTCGTCTTCAGTAAAATTTAGTGTATTGGATTGTTAACTAATTTTTATACTATAATATAATAATGTGTTTGTACATTAATAATTGTTTTCAAATAAGGAGTATATTTTTTGTTATTAAAACAAAATTTTTATAAATCTAGCATTTTTATATCCTTGTTCATTTCCCTCCCTTTGTTAGATTTTTGTACATAGTCATCAAAATGCAGGTTTTTCTAATCATGCTATAGACAATCATATTTTTTTTGTAACTTTTAATGCTCGATTGTATGTTCAAATTCAAAGGAGAAACATGCCGATGGGTTTTTAATCTCACAATAATACAAAGACTAATATTATGTTATAATAATCTTATTAGATCTTAATTACATTACCTCCCTCATTCAACACATTAATTCGTTCCAGTCCATACAAAATAATTTTAATTATTATAGTTTAATCATTGGAAGCAATAAAAACATAATTTTTTATAACAGAAATTTTCTCTAGATAAGCTTGTTAATTTTTTTTATTTTGATGTTTTAATACGAAATATTCAATACCTTAAACTGGATTTTTATATAGTATTTTCATTTTAACCATTTCATATACCAGATTGTGAATAGGAAAAAAACATACTATAAACAGCAATACTATTGAGAAATTGCATTTTAATAAATTAGATATCATTAGAGTAAAACTAAAAAGGGAACATAAAGGCACTTTTTTTTTTTAGGATTTTTTAAATATGCTTTATTGAACTTAAAGCAATAAATGTGAGTTAAATTATACTTAAAAAAATATTTGCTATGTACATTAAACAAAATTTAACTTAAAATACTTGTATGAAACAACTTAAAAAATATAAAAGCATTTTTTTCTTTTTCAATTTTTAATTCATCTTCACAATTCATCATCAAGGTTTAATTCTTCTTCTGGGAAATCACCTGCTGTCACATGGAGAGGTTTCACAAAGCCTCCATATTTTGGTGGACATTCGAAATATCTTTTACCATCAACGGAACCATCATTCTTTCCCATCGGTTCATCATACTGTACTCCAACCCAGTTACCGGTTTTAAAGTGAGTGGTCCCTATAAAAACATATATTTTTTATTCTGTCATATCATGTCTTGCTAATATAACAATAATGAACAAAGTAATAGTTAAAATAAAAATCAGTAAATGTTTTTCATTAATTGGCTTTAAATACATTTGTAACTTAAGAGGCTATTACATTCCCTGCCTTATAAAACGTTTGGAGTCACCTAGTCAAAGAGAGATTGATTGAAGGTATTTTTGATAGATTATGCATTCGAAAGTTTTCATTTATTTTTTTTAATAATTAAATGTTGATCCAACGTAGAGCCCACCTGATTTGAGATAACAGATATAATCATTATCATCAGGAGCTCTTTTATTTGAATTCTTATCAACCCTATCACCAAAAGTACAAGAGTTATCATTACCTCAACCTGTTGTAAAATCAGGTTTTAAGCTTCATAATTTAATAAATTTTTAAAAGATTTTCATATTTATAAATCGAGGGCAAGCATCTTTTAACTTATTATTATTCTTATGAAACATTAATCCAAAAATAAATAAATAGATTCTCCTTAAAAGACGTGTAAGAGTTCTATTCATCTCTCATCATATGCTGAATGTAATAACAATAATTGTAGGTTTTTTTTTTTTTAAATGTATGAGGATTTGAACTTAAGATGTTTCCATTATTAAATACTTTTAGAATTGTACCCCTTATTTTAAAAGGAAGATTGATACGCTATTTTAGAAGTTCTGTTATTAATTATTATTAATATATCTATAAAATAGTATTGTCAGTTAATTTTAACTCACCAATAAATCTTATGGCTGCTCGACGAGTGGGCTGTCCAGGTACCCTTACTTCACACCTTGATCCCACAGAGAGAGTTTCAAGCTTTTTAGCTTCGGCTTCTTCCTCTTCCTTCTTCTGCAACTCTCTCCTCTCTTGTTCCTCTTTACTAAATTTGCCTAACTGATTCCTTTTAAGATAGGCTAACAACGAATCTAAACAAAATAAATCAAGAAGTGAATATTAAATTAGAGCTAACATTAGATCTTTTTAGAATATTTGTATGTTTTGTGACAGCTGCTGATATATTTACTAATTTAATTTCTTTAACCAGTTCAATAACTTAAAATGGAATGCCATTTTTCATATCACTAGTCGTATGTTTTATTTTATTTATATTCTTTATATAAATGATTTAAAAAAGTAAATCATCTTTAGTACAATTTTATTTTGATTAAAGATCCTAAAAGTATTGAATATTCTATTTAAAACCATCACAAAAATTACAGGGAATCAAGTTTTACCCTGTCAAACCATTTAGGCTAAAACAAAATAAATCTAATGCCCAAGTTTTTCACTTAAGCAGATATAAGGAGTCCAAATCAGCATAAAGATATAAAATTTAAAAACTCTCTAAAAACTAAATAAACCTTTGCCAATATTTTTTATAATATTTGATAGTATTTTTAAGCATCTATAAATATAAACATTGCATTGGTAATTTCAGCAGTGAAAATTAAAATAAATGTTAACAATGATGAAGGATATGAGGCCTCCTACATCGATCAAATATGAGTCATTCCTACAGCATGCCAACTCTTCAGCCATCAAACTATGGATGGTGATCATATCTATATGGAGGTCTACTTACACTAATCAGAGGTTCACAAAATCACTTAAAAAACAGGAATATGCAGAGGATAATAATAACAAAAAGGATTACGGCCACGTACCTTCCCTTTTGGCGTATTCTTCTTCAGAAAGCTTATATTTTTCAACAGACTCGTCTTCTTCAAGTTGTTTTCTTAACGAAAAAGAATCTTCAACCTAAAAGTAAAAAAAAAAGACATGATAAATGGTTCTAATAAAAAAAAAAAATCTACCACAGAAGACCATGCTAAACATGCAATCATATCAAATGAGTTACATATTAAATTTATTTAATAATGGTAACAGCTAACAACAGTATTAAATATACAGTATAAAGTACAGTAATAAATAATGTTTATTATTTCTGAGCAATTAAAATACCATTCAATGACAATCCTGTTTGTCGACATTATTAGTGATTATTTGAATTACTGATGACAATTCAGACTTCTGGTTATTAGAGAGATAAACAAACCCTAAAAGTATTCTTTTCATTCGAGCTTAGGATCTTCCCAAAGGAATCAGTGGAAAATTAATGTTTTCTACTCATCACCAAACACTTGATAATTGTTATCACCAAATACTTGATAATTGTTATCACCAAATACTTGATAATTGTTCTCAACCTTCACTGACCAGGAATTCCATTTGATGATGTCGCAATATCGACTGAAAAGGACCAGATGAGGTTTATTTATTCCTTAAGTAAATAAACGGGGAAAGTATAATTTCAGCAGCGTATATGATTTTAATTAACACTGAAAATTGGAATTGAATCCTTTTTTACATGACTGATAACAGAACCTAATTTAGACAGTCTGTATAAGTCTAGACATGAATGTCGTAAATTAAGATGATTTTTAATAATCGGTTACTTTTGGTATAGCATCTACAATGTGATCCCATGCCCACATAAAGTAAAACTTCAGGACTAGAACCAAAAATTCAAAAATCATAAAACATTTTTCAAAATATTAAAGCAACAATGAAATGGGTATTGAAGTCATTTATGAATCAACTAACTATTGTAATGTTAATTCCAATAATAAAACACTAGATGAGTCATAGAGTTTATACTTGAAATACTGATAATTACCCTTACTCAAATTACTTGATATGAAAGTTGCAAGTGGAAATTCTAAAGAACCAGTTGCTTATTAAAAACTTACATGAATCCTCATACCATCATCAATTGGATAGGAACCAATCAAGGCATTGTTGTCATCCAACCCACACACCAACTGGTCATCTTTTGTAAAAACTTTCAATTTCATAGTGTTTGAAGAGCCACCAGTGACTAATTCCAACTTCTCCTACAAGAGGATAATGAAATATATAAACCTTACATCTTTCAAAGAAGATAATCTTGGTTTCTGATTATTGATACCTTCAACTCTAAAACTGTAATGTCTTTCTTGAACCTCTTCTCTATAGCTATACTTTGACAAGATGCAGAAATCAAAACATTTACATAATCTGATGTTTTAATAATTATATCTGCCATCTCGCCGAATGATTGACAATCTTGTAATTGACTTGAAGTTTGGACAGCTATATCTTTATGCCAAAGAGGTTATTAATCTCAATGGTAAGCAAAATGATCACGAAAGTTGAAGTCTGTTGAGCAGTTCTGATTTTATAAAATTAATTTTATAATTAAATACTTAAAGTATCATATGTTCTACATTAAAATAAAAATAATAATATCTTACGTTTAAAGAGTTTACATTACGGGCAGAACTGGTGAAGTTCTCAATAAAGTAGTGTTAAAACACATTTTTATCTTTTTGCTCATGTATGAGTAGTTTAATTTTTTTTAATATTACGTTAATTTATGTTAAAATAAATCTTGCAATCTCTCCTGAAAGTTTTAATTTAGTAAGCCACACAGAAAACATTTAACATGATGGATGTACCGCTGGTAAATCGCTAATAAACTCCGATAATATGAGATTTGTCATTTTTATATTGATTCCCAAACTATAATTGCTTTTTAGGAACTCAAGGCCTCATAAAAATTACTTATTTCTTACTATAAAGTAATTATCTTCTGCAATGAACGTTGGCCCTCGAAAGGATTCATCACACTTCCGAGCTCTTTATTCTTCCATTGTTGGTCTGTTGCTGAACTCTTCATTTCTAGCCTTCCTTTCTGGATGATATTTTTGTGGCGAGCTTCTTAATATTTCTTTATGATAAACCTGATACAGAAACATTAAAGCATTTTCTTGAAACAATGGTCAAATAGAGCTTATACTGTAGTTATTATTCCATGATTGAAGAGTTCTTCTGTTGCAAAGTCATTGGTTTCTATTGAATAGGTCATTGGTGAGAGTTGTGTGGCTTGCATTACTTCTTTATCCGTTTACTGAGTTAATAGATATTCAACCATATTTGTTTATTGTTTTCAAACATGAACTTTCGTAATCGAACAATAAGAAAAAATTGAATCTCCAAAAGATATAACCAATCCAAAAACCTGACGAAAACCAATTAAGCATTAGGCAGCTCTCAGAAAAGCTCGTGGAAGAATAAAGAACTATATACATGCTTTGTGGACCTAACTCAACCATTGGATAAGGTCAGAAAAACGGACGTAAACAGAACACAGAACGAGCATGAAGTTGATCCAGGCCTAGTGAGGGCCATTTTTAGCACTAGCGGATCCAGGATATAATGTTTTGTGGGGGGGGGGGGGCTTCAGCCCGAAAGATTTTTTTTTCATATACATATAACGATAATTAATTTGAAAAAAAAGAAGAAATTAATTACCTATATGGAATGGTGTTTAAGTGGTTCTTGAAGTTCTATTAAATGTAATTAAATGAACAAGAATACTTTAAGAGATAGTTTTTAATATTTTTTTCTGTAAAATGTGATTATATTTTACCATTTTGGGAGGGGGGGGAGCTTCAGCCCGAAAGTCCCCTCCCCCCGTAGATCCGCCTGTGATTCTTAGCCTATGTAAAAAGTAAATAAGCGTGGTCAGAACCACATCTCTAAGGAGTTTCAGAGCGCCCAAGGAATAAGAGAGGGCTGTAGTCCGGATCCTGCAGAAAGAAATAGAACTGTTTAATATGGAAATAAACAATCACAAAACAAAAATAATGAGGATAGGAAGAGGAGAAGAGAGAGGAGACCTAGTACTTCGATTGAAGGAGAGGAACTCGAGCACGTCAAAGACTTTAAGTATCTGGGAGCCCATCTAAATGAGAACGGTTGGATAGATGGCGAAATCAGAGAAAGAATAAGACTGGCCAGCAAATGCTTCCATTCAATACAAAACAGGCTTCTTAGCAAAGAGAGGAGTGTCAAAAAATGTCAAGAAGATGGTGTATAAAAATACATTTGTCCCCATACTGACCTATGGTAGTAAATCTTGGACTATAACCACAAAACGTAAAATCATTATCCAAGCAATGGAAATGCGGTTTCTGAGGAGAATAGAGGGAAAAACTACGAGGGACAAAATCAGGAATACATGGAAGCTTCACTCAGGGAGGATTTAGATAGGAGAGGAATGAACTGGAATAGACGCAGTCAGCTGGTGCAAGAAAGAGATAAATGGATCAGGCTCTATAAACAGGATCCTCTACACTGATCTAACGGTAGAAGAGGAATTGATTAAGAAGAAGGACTATTTTTTATATGATTCAGGAACAATTCTTTTAAGCAGAATTTTGTCTTTAGTAGCAAAATTTTTTGAAATTTCTGATGATTTAAATTTTCATAGTGCTTTTGTATTTGGTCTTTACAATACCAGTTAATTCTCACGAAATATACTTGAAGTCACTAGCTTTCCAGCTGAAGATATCCACCATAAAACTAATATTTCTCAGTTGGTTGTTTATTTATATTAAATTCAAAAATTTACAGTCTAAGTAAATTTAATTACAATCAGCTGTCCCCTTCCTTAAGTTACAGGCTTATACCCTTTGAGAGTTCACAATATTTGGGGGGGGGAGGGTGAATGAATCACTTTCCATCAAACTTGATATTATGATGAAGCGTATAGAAAAATGAATGTTATGTTATTAAAAAAAAACTTGTTCTCTATTGTTTTAGATAATTTTAAATTTATTATTCTTCAAATTTAATTTTTCTGTTTCAAGGAACATCTCATATATTACTTTATTTTTTTTTTGTTGGCACTATAGACCACAAAGATGTTGCCAATCTGACCACGGGCGGATCTACGGGGGGGGGGGGGGCATTCGGGCTGAAGCCCCCCCCCCAAAATGGAAAAATACAACCATGTTTTATGGAAAAAAAATTTTAAAAATACCTCTTAAAGTATTATTGTTCGTGTAATTACATTTAAAAGGACTTAAGGAATCACTTAAACACCATTTCATATAGGTAGTTAGTTTCTTTCTGGTTTTCCAAAGTAATTATCGTTATTTTTATGAAAAAAGAAGGTTTCGGGCTGAAGCCCCCCCAAAATTAAATCCTGGATCCACTACTGAATCTGGCAATGTCCCTCATTAATTAAAAAACAGTGATAAATCCAGCCTAGATCCATAGATTATGATTGCTCAGATTTAACAGAATCTATATCTCTTTCCCTGAAACAAACCCTGCATATACCAAACCTTTAGGTGGTAACTGACATCCATAAAACCACACCATGATTCCTGAATAAAGCACACAGGGTAGGGTCATCAATCCAATGCCCAGTATATGTGAGTTAACTGCAGGAGACTGTTTCACATACCAGGAAAGGGAGAGAGATTTCTAATTTCAGGTAGTGTGATTTTCTTCTGGGCCCAGCCATCCAAGTACTTGCCAAGCTCCATAACTTAACTTTTATTACCTGTTGACCTGTTGCAAGCACCTTAGCCCGCTCGGCCGACCTGATCCCTCTCAAATACTAAACAGTACTTAAATTAAGAACAAACAGCAACATTTGGGTTGACAATAATTTAATTTGTAGAGCATTTTGATTTTGGTGATATAAAGAAAATATACGTGGATAATCTATATAAATAAAATAAAGTTTTTGTCTGTACATTGAATAGAATCAACCCGTTTTATGATATCTTTCCGTTTGATACATTGCTGACACCAAATCCACTTTTTAAAAAATTTTTGTCTGTCTGGATGTCCGCATTGTCCAACGAAATTTTGACAGGGGTAAGCTCGGCAATGGCTAATGGTAGACTTGAAATGTTGACCTTATATTTAGGTTTGCTTGACTTAAAATATAGGCTTTAAATGAAAACAAAATATTGTGTAAAATCAAAGCTATGAATTTCTGAGTAATTTGTCAAGAGATTTCGATTAGGCAGTTACTTACTTCAATTCTCATCTCAACCTACTCTATTGCGAGCCACATTTAAAAGTTGTACTACTCAACTGGTGGAAACAATTATCACAACTCAACAGGAAAAATCCGGAATACCTACCATCTGTAACGCGTTGTCGGATAAAATGAGCAAAATATCCTGGTTTTTCAACATTGTCCGATTTTCCTGTTCAAGGTGTCATTTGATTCAACTTCAGAAGCCTAATAAATGTTGTTGTATACATTTTTAGGATTAACCGGATTTCAGGAAAAAAATTCCAAAAATTTCACCCTGTCCTCCACAATATTCAGATCAAGTTCTAATTTTACATGGATGTAGGTGACTCAATGTCCAATGTCATTTTGCAAGCGATAAACTCAGCAGAGTTTAAAGAAGTGGAGAGACTACAACTTTTTTGATTAATTAATCAACTCCACAATCTCCTCTTCATCATAAATGAAAATTAAACAACAAATTTTAATGGATCGGTGGTGTACGGTTTAGTTATGTGGCGCCTAAACAAATAGGCGAATAACAAAATTTTGTTATGACTATTGTGAAGCCTCGACTTCCATAAGCCCCGCCATAAAAAATTTCAAAACTCATCTCTCCTCTCCTCTTCCGATCCACTTTTATGAAATTGAATTTTGACCTTCCCCCCATAATACAAAATCCATCTAAAAAAAAGATTCACAAATGTCAACTATACACCCGTCAACGACAGGCACATCAGCTAGTTAATAATAAATTAAATTTAAAAAAAATAGATAATGTACCATAGATTTCATTTAAATGAAACAAAAGTTGGAAATACCTCTATTTAATCATATCCAAAGTAATACGATTTATTTTACTTTATATAAAGATGTTACCACCTGTTTACCTATAGATTCTTCTGCTTCATCTTTTCAATTGAAACAACCAAATTCATCATCCAGAAATTCCTCTTTATGTTTATCTTAAAAAATAAATTAATGCAAGAGATAAAACATGCAGAAGTCAATGGGGAACAGAAGAAATACCCAGCAGTATCTCTTCCAAAGATTGTAACAATTTGTATTAGCTTAATTTTATTTATTTAACATTAACAAAAAAATGAACATTTATATCAATAGTTAATGAATCTGTTTTTCCACATAAAATGACAGCAATTTCAAATCAACACATTATCAAGAATACAAAGTAAGAATATTTTTAATTTTAATTATTAATTATATAAAAGCTGGAAATATATAGTAAAAATGTATAAAATTTTTTTTTCCCATAAAATCTCATTTTTTAAAAATCATTTTATGTTAGCCTAAAACTTGTTAATTTAGAATGCATTTTTATTTAACTTCTTTTCTCATAAAGCTTCGCCCCTTTTACAATTAATAAAAGCTCTATCTATACAATTTTTACATTATCTAAATTACCAATCCTGAAATAAAACTAGATACAAATACCTGTTAACTCTGTTAAGTTTGAAGAAAATAATAATAATGTATATCTTCAAAGGAAGCTTTATTATTATTTTTTTTTTTTAGAATTAAATTGTGCCAAAACATTAACATATTAAAATGGTCAAAAACTAAAAACTATCATATTTAATTAAAGCATAAATTAGTATTAAATATTATATAATATTTAATAAAAACATATTAAAGAAATAAAATATTTGAGCATGTATGAAATACTTTTTATAAATGGAAAAGCCTATTGTTTAATAATTTTCCAGATGCTTTTCATCCAGATAAATGAAAACTGTAAATTACTTTTAAAATGACATTCATTTGCTGTAACACCACAACTCAAAATTAGGAATATTTTGAAAGATTTATTTGAAGTTTTTAAATTTAAGCCAGCCGGAGTGTTTTTATGAGTAGTTACATCACCAGTTTTATATTCTTATTTCACATTTACTTGTTGAATTGTATAAATAAAGTTGTTGATCACAATTTCAGTCAAACTAAAATACCAAATAAAAATACTGCTAGATTTGCTTTGGGAGTTAAGAAATGACATTCTATCAGTTAAAAGTATAAATTATTGCAATGGTTTCGGTTGTATTAAATATATAACTAATGATTTTTGAGTTATGACATTGTTGCAGAAAATGAATGATAAAGATCAGCAAACAAATTAATCTAGGTTCATTTCAGGATATTTTAAATTACTCTTATAAGAACTAGCAGCTGTACAGCTTTTTACAAGAAGCATTAAAAAGTTAAAATTTAGTAACATTCTTCCAGCTCTTTGTTCAAAAAGTATCTACATTATACTCCCTATGCAATATACACAATAATACAATCAATTATACAGTTGTCTGTATATACATATTAGAAAAAAATATGTATACATATACATTCATTCAAATATTAATAATAGGCACAATATTGGTATCTTATTTTATAAAAAAAAACAAAATATGTAAATAAAAGAAAAAAATATTATTGTGCGCTCATTTTTGGTCTTTTAGAAGAAGGTGATGAAGAAGAAGCAGCAGATGAGGAATCATATTGACCTTTATTCTTCAGCAAATATGCTGCAAGATAGCTGATTGGATCAGGAGGTCTAAAATAAATAACAGTACAATTAAAATAATAGCCATAAAAAAAAAAAAAAATTAAAAAATTAAAATTGTGTAGTGAATGATAAAAATATTTATAATGGACTATGGCATAGGCAGGAAACTAGTGGTCTCAGGGCCACATGTGCCCTCCAAACGTTTTTGCACAATATTTATTGATCTAGTGTTAAAATTAATTAATAATTAATTATTTATAATGAAAATTAATGGATGTGAGTTGGATATATGTATCTCATATTCATATATATATATTGTAATGTCAACATTACATGGCATTTAAATAGTGGCGCGAAAGTGGGGGAAGCAAGCCTCATGTAACTCAGAATGTGACGGGCCGCCAGGAGAGAAGGTGATAGCGGCCAAGAGAGAAGGTTATGAGCCGCCAAGAGAGAATGTGACAAGCTGTCAAGAGGGAAGGTGACGAGCTTGCCAAGTGAGAAGGTGCCAGCCAGCAAGTTGAGAAAATAGAAAAAGGAGTCCTAGCCGGTTCGAGTGTTGACAGAGGCCACTAGTGAAGATTATTTTATGGTGGAAGAAAACAACATAGCAGAAAATAATTAAGTGGTACAGAAAACGGGACATTCGTAAGTAAGAAGAGATTATTTCGCTGGCAGGCATAAACATTTGAGTGAGTGCTAACAATGCCATTTATGTTGACAGAGGGATAGAACCAAAAGTTTAGACCGGGACAAATTATTTTATAAAATATTTTAAATTATAAATAAGTGTAGTTAGTAATTAGTAAATTAGTGTACATTGTAGTTATTAAATGTTGAATGAGTGTTCAGTTGTCAGAACCCAACCTGAGATTTATGTTATGTGTTAAAATAAATAGTATATTGAAAAAGGAAACTCGTTGTTTGATTTATGTTGACCAAGGGAACATTACAATATATATATATATATATATATACACACTCACACACACATAATATTCCTCTATCCAACAGTGCCCTGCATTGGTTCAAATCCTTCCTTTCAAATCGGTCCCAGTATGTAGTAGTCCCAGGTCAACCTTCATCAAAGACCCTTCCTCTCTCCTGTGGTGTCCCTCAAGGTTCCTCTATCTCCTACTCTGCTATTTATATTAATGACCTTCCCCTCATGATCTATCACTCCCAATACCATATCTATGCAGATGATTTCCAAATATACCTGTTCTTCCCGCCCTCCGACCTATTATCTGCCACAGAAAAACTTCAAGAAGACTTGGATAGAATTTGTGACTGGGCAAGAGTTAACAAGTTGAAGCTGAAACCGGAAAATATGAAGGCAATCTTAATAGGCTCCAATCACCTCCTTAAAACTGTTCCTAATATTCCAACTCTGTTCCTTCATTATACTTCCATCAAATTTTACCCATCGTCAAAAATCTTGGAATAACCTTCGATTAAATGCTTTCCTGGAAAAAACCATGTATCCAATATTTTCCGCTGTACCATTTCCACTTTAAAACGTCTAAATTATTATCCTCACCTATTTCCACTTGAAACCTGTAGGCTCCTAGTCACCTCCTTAATTTTCCCCCACTTTGACTATTGCTGTACGGTATATGGGGGCGTCTCTGGGGATCTCGAGGCGGTACTAAAACGTTTAATAAATTGCTTTGTACGAATCATCTTCGGGATACCAAGGGATGCCTCTGTTTTTTATACAGAGTTGAAGTGGCTTTATCCTTTCTACCATCATAAATATTTCCTGGCATCCTTCCTCTTTCAAGTCATCCAATCCCACAGCCCCTCATACATCTCCGAGCTCCTTCAATTCAAATCCTCTGTTCGTTCCCAGTCTTCTGATTTATACATAAGGGCCCACCGAACCGCTGCTTTCGACAGATCTTTCGTTGTCCGATCCTCATCCCTTTGGAACTCCATTTCCTCTCACATTCGTCAATCCAATACCCCTTCTACCTTTAATATATATATATACATACCTACATATAATAATAATATTTTATTTATTCTGGGACGAGTTCCTTTAGAATAATACAGAAAGACATAAATATGGGCTAAGGAGCCTTTGAGATACATTAATAAAAATACAGAGTAATTAAACAGTCATAGTAAAAGTTACTTTCTAATTTTAATCAGTTAATTATAAAAAACAAAAAATTGAAAAAGAAAAAAAAAATGATGAAGTAAAAATAATGAAGAACGAACTAATAATTTATATACATATTTACATTAGTACCTATTTACAATTTCATATATACATATGTATATTATATATATATATATATATATATATGGGTGTGTGAATTTAATGATAAATTCAATAGTAAAATGTATGTAAGAATTAATGTGGCCTCCATTAGCACTGCCTAACCTTACAGTGGCCTCTAATGATAAAAAGATTCCCAACCTATGGACTATGGACATGTTTACATACTTTGATACAATGTACAGTTACATAATTATTTCAAGATATATGTAGTAACATGCTCTTTAATGATGTTTAACATAGATTTTTCAAGTTTTAATTAGTCATGATCAAGGCCCGGATTTTTATACAGTAAAAATCTAGTCTCTTAATATAATAAACTTTTTACTAGTTACTTGATTCCTAATAGGGCAATAATGCGTTTAAATATAATGACGCGCCTACAAAAAGTTTAGGATCAAAAAGAAATTATGGGGAGGCGGGTTGAAAAGTACAATAATTTCAATTTTTTTTTTTTTTATTATATAAAGTAAAGAATGAAAGTAACTAAACATACAAGGCTAATAAGGTTATAATATACCTATATACATTATAATGGTAACGAAAACATAAGATAATCGCATTAAAAAAAACTTAAATATCAAAATAGATAAACCATTTGAATTAGTCTACTATGCAGACATGTTCTGTATTATAAATAATTATCGGAAACATTGCTAAAATTGCTACTAAACCTAACCTTTTATAAAACATTTTTGTAATTATAAAATGATCTTTCTAAATCAAAAGGCGTGATAAGAGACAAATTTATATCCACTTAAAATTACCGGGTTAATGTCAATGTAGCTGAGGACAATTGAATATTCACGATTTAAAATTTTATTAATACCTTCCAGAATTGTGAGCCCTGAATTTTTTATAGAAACTTCTTCTATTTTTACTTTCCTACCTATACTAGGTAAGGAAAGTATTGCGTCTAATTTCCGATATGTGGTTTTCGACGGATTTATACGTTTCAGAGCCCCCTGAGTCCGAAAAACACATTTTTAGCCATTGGTCTGTCTGTCTCTCGGGAACTACTGAGCCGATTTTGTTGCTTCTTTTTTTATTTTGTAGGGTTTTGACTACTTCTGCCTGTGATAGAAATTGGGTGTTCCATGCGCAATAGCTGCTGTGCAATAAATGAATAACACGTTTTTCTATAGAACGTAACGGCTCCATCGATTTTGATGAAACTTTTCTATAATGCACTAATAATAATAATGGTCTCTTCAATTTTCGTAAATGCACTAAATTTCCGAGAAAATGCAGGAAAAAGAGTTATAAAGAAAAAAAAAATGTTTTGGGGCCTAACTCGCTAAATATATATTATATGGTAAAATTTATAATTGATAAAAAAATTATCAGAATCGAATCAGTATTAGCGATGGATGATACAGCAGATTCTATTTTATACACCTTTTAATTTATTACTTTCCTACCTAGACAAGGTAAGAAAGTATTGCAATTATTTAGCTTGTTTTTTTTTTATAGGTAATGAAATTACCTACAAAACTACATAAAAATCGTTCATTTTGGACAACTATTAACGAAGTTACAGCTATTCAATTTCCAATGTAAGATTACAGGTTCATATCCTGGTGTCAGAAAGGGGTAAATGAGAGAAAAAACATGACTAAGAGAAAGTAAGAAAATCTGTTGAACGCATCACATAAGCTTCACTATTTCCTCTACTTTTAACAGAAATTATTGTTTGACAAAATTAAGCCATGGCAAAAGTTTTTGATCAGCAATATTAGGGAGTATTGAAATTTTTACACTGATCTACCTTAAGCCGGTTTACATTGCTTTAGTTTATCAAATAAATCGTACTCAAATCTTTTCTTTGATCAATTTTCAGGAAAATAAATCTAATTCAATTTTTTTTTTTGTTTCTTCAGGAACATATGCGAAGATATAAAAACTTTTTTGAAATAGGTAGGAAAGTCGTGTGAGTGAACACACCAGATTTTTTCATTTAAAGTTACAACCACTTGGTCTCGTACCAATGGTTTTCTATCAGTTGTAAGAACTATTTCATGTCTGTTGTTTTAAGTTTCAATCCAAGATTTCAACATTGATGAAAATACTTTTGGCATTTTAAATCAACAGGAATATGTTCTCTTGCTAAGAACGAAGGCAACAAAATAAATTAGAAACTTAGTATGATGTTTACATGGGACAAGAAGGGGAAATGGTTTCTAGGATTTGGAGAACATCTAAAAAGAGAATTATTAAAGGATATAGCCAGAGTTAGGTAGGTATGTGGTCTATAAATGTGGTAGATTTGTTCATTGAAAATAAACCTAGGATTATAATCTTGAATTGTATCTTCAATATTACATTTTAATTGGTATATATAAATAAATAAATATTCATTTACATATATATATTTTTTGTTGATTCATTGAACCAATCAAAATATGCAATTATAAGCATTTATCCACAAATATGCAGAATAAAATTTGACTAATTACATCACAGTGTACTACTTTGTAAACATGTTTGATCAGCGGTTGCAAAAAATCACGCAAACAAAATCTGCAATTGCATAAAAATCCGGGCCTTGGCTATGATGTTTGGATGAAAATATTAATGAATAAGTTAATGGGTAGAGCAATGTGTCTTAAAGTAGAGAGATCCTTGTACAAATACTGACTTAGCACATTAAATTTGCTCTTAACTAAAAATTATGGCATGATATATATTTTCAGTGTGAAATACACAGTTTGTTGAAAGAAAAAAAAAAAAAAAATCATTTAATGATAGGCACGAGAGTGAAGAACAAGCCGGTACATAATTACAACCAAGCAACATTGAAGAATAAAATAATTTTTTTTTTTTTAGTTCTTTTTACAAGTTTAAAAGCCTCTTGTAAAATTTCAAAAATTGCCTTTAAGGCTATCATCCTCATTGATAATACTAAATATCAACCTGCAGTAGTTTTAAAATCAGCCGACCGACGAATCATTGCTGAGTATTATCCAACAAATGACTTCTCTTACCCAGTCCTTGGATTAGGATGTAATTCTAACTAACTTAATTGCTTTGTGCAAAATTCAACTGTAGATTAAAACAAAGCGTTTTATCACAAAAAAAATTGAAGATTATGTTCAAAAACTGTTTTATAAATCTTAAATATACAATATCTATATAAATAAAATAAAGATTTTGTCGGTACATTGAATAGAATCAACCCGTTTTATGATATCTTTCAGTTTCATACATTGCAGACACCAAATCCACTTTTAAAAAAATTTTTTGTTTGTCCGCATTGAAACGAAATTTTGTCAGGGGTAAGCTCAGCAATGGCTTATTGTAGACTTTTGAAATTTCAACATTATATTAAGGTTTGCTTGACTTAAAACATAGGCTTTAAATGAAAACGAAATATTGAGTAGAACCAAAGTTATGAATTCTTGAGTAATTTGTCTAAAGATCTCGGTTAATGTTGATAATAAACACATATTTATAGGTTAAAGCACATCATTATATAAATAGGCAAACACAAATCGGTTCAGCCCCTTTAACTCCTCTATTATTCAACTGATTTTCTTCCTTCTTTTTTTGTTTAATAGATATTGACGAGCTTCAGTGTTATCAATAAATAAAAATATTAAATAGTATGTGAATAAAAATGTAAATGGCAGTTGGTTCAAGACGGCTTATCTCTGTAAGTTCTTCACCGATATCTTTTAAATTTTGACCACAACGTCGCAATAATATTTAAAAGTTTTTTTAATATACATTTCATTATCATCGGGCCTTTCGAAATGGCAGCCGAAAAACGTGATTCGCTTTAGACTGTAGTTTCAATACGGCTTCAACGATTTCAATGAAACTTTGCTAAAGTCTTCCCCTTGAAACCTTTATAATTTATGTATATAACATACTTTCCCGAAAACAAACTGCATAAATTTTTATGATGAATTCAGTATTTTATTTGCGAATAACTCAAAAAGGACACATTTTTTTACTGATAATACCAATATTTATTTTAAAGCTCTTTTACAAAATGATAAAAAAAAAAAAAAAAAAGACTGTCGAAATCTAAAAGAATCAACTCCGAAATGAAACAATTCCTAATGACCAAAGGAGCAAAGTGCGTTCAAATATTTTTTTAATGAGGAACGGAGTTGAGATTCTTCTTTCGCATCTTGACAAACTCTCAAATACGAATTTTCATTTCAATCCAAAAATAAAAAATTTTTACCTAAAATTTTCGTCAATTTTTTCAAAGAAATCACTAAAGTGGTCATAACTTCCATACCGCTCAAGATATCTAAATGAAAAAATTCATGCATTTAGGGCCCTATAATATAGGTGAAATGGCACAAACCAGAGATCCGTAAATAAATTAGGCTTTGAGAAAAAAAATAAATAAAAATCTATTTCCAGTTTTTTAAATTTTGACATTACCTTTATGTTTGTTTGACTTAAAATATAGGCTTTAAATGAAAACAAAATATTGAATAGAGCCAAAATTATGAATTCTTGAGTAATTTTGTCTAGAAATCCCGGTCAGGCAGTTACTTCGATTCTAATCCCAACCTACTCTACAGCGAGCTACATTTAAAAGTTGTAATACTCAACTGATGGAAAAATTATCACAACTCAAAGGGAAAAATCCGGAATACCGAACATCCGTAAAGCGTTGCCACAAAAAAACGGGTAGAACTCACTCATTTTTCAACTTTGTCCGATCTTCCTATTCAAGGTGTCATTCAATTAAACTTTCTGAGCTTAACAAATGTCGTCCTATACATTGTTAGGATTAACCAAACTGATTAGCCGGGAATCAGGAAAAAAACTCAGCACACAGCAGAATTTAAAAGAAGTCGAGAGACTACAACTCTTTTTTATCAATTAATCGACCCCACAATCTCCTCGCTTCATCATAGATGAAAATTAAACACTTAACAAATTTTAATGGATCGGTAGTGGTCAGTTTAATTGTATGGTATCTAAACAAATAGCCGAATAACAAAGTTTTTATTATCACTATTGTGAAACCGTGATTTCCATAAGCCCCACCATAAAAAATTTCAAAACAATCCCCATCCTCCCTCTCGACCCAATTTTATGAAATTTAATTTGGACCCTCCTCCCCCCATAATAGAAAATCCATCTCAAAAAAAGATTCTCAAATTGTAACTATTTACCCGTCAACGATGGGTACATCAGCTAGTCACATATAAATAAAAATAAAATTGCTTTTTCTTCTTGTAAATTAATTTATAGATTTAATTACATATTTGTTTGTAAAATAAAGTGCTCTTCACTGGTTCTGTAATCATATATTTTTTTTTTTTCAAGTATCACTAAATTTTCACGGACAATCAGTAGTAGAATTCACAATTAAAGCAGAATTACACGGGGTTTTCAAGTTTCCATAATTTTCCCCATTATTTTTAAAGAACTAAAAAAAAAAAATGAATAATCCTTTTACAAGTTTGCGCATATATTTTTTTTTATTTTAAGATAAAAATGGAAGCAGGACGATGTGTTCCCACTTTTACTTTCTGTTACGATAACTAAGCATGTTTATAATAAAAACAGAATGCATAGCAAACATAACAGAGTATATTTGATGATTTAGCTCATTTCTCAATACAATACCTTTATTATTAAGAGTAATTATGCCTTTAATATTAAGAGTGTCTAGAGAACAAAGAACGCATTATGTCACTAACAAAAATAATCACAAATTTTTAATTAGTAAACTGTTTGTTAGCACTAAATATACTGCGTAAAACAACAACATTAAAGAAATAATTGCATTTTCTGTATTTTAAAACAAAGAAGTTTTTATGATTACAGTGATGTTTATAACTAAAACAATGACAGTAAAATGTTTTACGTTTTTAATAAGCAGGGCAGTGAAACTATATTAAAGATAATAAGTTTTTCAAACTTTCCAACGTCAAAGGTATGAAGGTTTGCAAAAGTTATGAGTGAAACCTAATATAGTTTTAAAATAGCTAACACAGTAATAATAATATGTTTTAAAATCAAGTGCTTTTGTGCTTTACTACACTTAGCTAGTAACTAGAAATATAAGTCTTACCTCTCTTTAGCAAGCTTAGCTAATCCCTCTAGTAAAATAGGAACAACAGTTTGGTCAAGATACTGTCGAGTTGGGAGTGACTGCAGATCCACCTTTGACTTCTTCAATGGATTTTCTGAAGCTTCCTTCTCTGCATTAACTACTTTCTGAAATTAAACATCATTACTTGAAAATGATAAATATATAATTCAATGTGTTCAACTTACATGATAAAAACAATGTTATCATGTTTAAAATAAATGAATTATCACTGAAACAAACAAAACTCACACAAGTTTGACCCTTATCGTGTAGTCCGTTTCTCCCAATCCCCCTCCCATGTTATTAATATTATAATCATAAGTAACTTCTTTGTTATTTATTAGACACTTGAAAGCAAAGGTTAGAGAGATAGTATACTACATCAGTGTGAAGTATAATTTGTTTACTTGGGGTAATAGTCAAACAACTTTCATACATGTAACATGGTGGAATTTTAGGCAAAGTTAAGCTAGGAGGAAAATGGCATCAGACCAAATTGTATGTAACATTCGCTGAATCAGACTAAATTGATGAATTACTTGAAAGCTATAAAAGTAACCAATAAATTGAATATTTCAGTTTTAATCCTGAGTCTTAAGGTGCTAACCCAATTTTTAAGTTGACCAAATAATCACGGCCCATACTTTTTATGATTAAACAAAACAACTTCAAATAACAACAATTATAAATCTAGGAATTCAATTAAAATAATAGTGATTAAGGAGAGAAAACAAATGAAAAATTGAAACAGCATCTACAAATGAAGTTAATAATATATTAAAAAAATAAAATAAATACAAGATCATAGTATCATATTGTAACAAAATTTGTAAATTTCATGTATTTTTATTGACTTCAGTGAAATGAGGTAGTTTACAATGTTTTTAACTTCTTATAATAATTGTTACTGAAATTCTAACACAATATATGATCTCTGAAGTTAACTAATGTTTTAAATTTCTTATAATAATTACGAATAAAATTCTAATCTATTATCTCATCATCTGTATCAGTTTTCATTCAAAATCATATAGTTCAATATGAGTTTATATATAGTAAAATGTGGTGTCTGGATGTGTCTTACAGATAGAAGACTTGTTACAGATACTTTAAAAATATCCCAATGCACATACTTAATTTTTTTACATTTGGTTATTACAACAGTTAAATTCTTGCATCAAACCATATTTTTATCTTCTGGTCAATTGATTTTGTCTGATTCATCTAGATGTTGAAAATGTAACCTAACCTAACATGTCAAGTGACAAATGTAGAGCTAGCTTCGTCGTTCTCCAAACAGTGGAATCTTGGCCCATCTGTTATCCAGATAAACATAACACTATCGTACTACTACTGTCTGTCTGTCATTTTATATGAAGATAATTGTTGATACTTGTCAACTTTTCGTATTCCATCTAAACAGTGGTCGATATTGTCTTGGAAGAAGCCACCATCTTAGAGTACTGATTTGGAACTCGTGCCGAATTCCACAATATGAACCAATAACGAAAAGTTTTCTAATATATATATCAATTACTGTTCCTTATAAAAGAACATATGTCTGTAGACATTATAAGAGAGCAAAAATAAATTTTTATGATGGAATAAATAAAAAGTAATTGACTACATTTTTAGTAAATTTAAGTAAAGTAATACAATGGATGATAAGGTGTAAGTAAAGTTGTGTTAGGATTAGGAGAGCGTTTGGTGGAGCGAATAAAACAGACAGAAATATTTTTTTGGTATCAGTATTAACAATTAGGTAATTTAAACCTCCTTGTTATCATTAACAATATATGTTAACATTCCTATGATAACAATTATCACATATAGTATAATTTAGTATTCATGTGAACATCATGTACATCACATTAGAAAAAAACTTAACCAACTGCAATCACAAAACGGTAAATATGATCCACTATGTTATTTATTTAATAAAAACTTGTTTTGAAATAATTCGTTAAACATTGAACTACTTATTCTAGGAAATTGCCAGTGATAAAATCAATAACTAAAAATTTAGTGGATGCTATTTAGAACATGATTTAAAGATTTATTAACTTACAAGAGCTGCTTCATTAATTCCATTCTGTCCAGCCACTCCAATTGAAGACTGTGTTTCACCTGCTTCTTCACCTAATTCAAATATTACTAATAATTTATCCTGTTAAACTTGAAAAAAAAATTGGAACTAGAATTTATTTTCAAGGGTATAGCACCAACATTTAAATAACCTAAATGGTGTATTTCAATAATTGATTAACTCCAAATAAATGATGAATAATAAAGCAATATTAAACATTTACCGTTTGCAGACATTGCTGAATACAAATTACTACAAGAGAAATTAGATTAAAGCACACCAGAGAACCCACTAAACAGCCAATACAAAAATGGTGTAACATGTAACCTGACCAGATGACTTTAACCTTCTTATTAATATTTTTGTTTATGGTATGATTATTTAGAAATGTTTTAAGTTAATTAATTAACTATAATTATTAACTATAAATATTAATTTATTAGGAATTAATCACTCTACAACCATAATAAAAATTAATAAATTTATTAGCAAACAAATATTGTTTCAAACAGGAAAGAATAGCCGTACAAATATTTCCGTCACTTTTTGGTGTAATTATTGATTTGCTCCTCATTATTCCAACATAATTTATTTATTTATTCAATTATCACAAGAGGCGATGATATTAATTAAATTATGGTAATTTTGATGAGTTATATTTAATAAATGAAACTTTGTGATCCAATATGAAAAAAAAAATACCCCTCCCCTTCAAAATTTAGCAGTCTGTCTAAAGATTCATTTAGACATTTCACACAACAAATATACAAATGGTTATTTCACTATGCTAATATATTTGTTTCTTGTTTTTGAAAATTTCCATCTGGGGGTGGTATCAACAGGAATAAAATAAATATTTTGTTTTAGCCATAATATCACTGTTAGTTAAGTTAGATAATTGTGTTTCCCATAGTTTGTGAGATATCTAAACTTACCTTAAGATTTTATGAAGATAGAAAAAAACAACAGATTTTCAGCAGTATGTCAGTAGCTCTTAAAGGAGACTACTATTTGGTCATTTCTTTATTTCTGGAAAAGTCAAAATATAAATGACAGACGCACACGACTTATGTAAGTGCTGACATGCACCAATGCCCAGAACTTTAAATAGCTTTAATGCCAAATATAACTGTCTATTGGTGGCTAAAACGTTTTTATTTGTTTTGTGAAATTTGTTTGCCACAATCAAAATTAATTCAATAGAATTTGTTCAATTACTTAGAAAAAATATGTATTCAACAACCCATAAAGGGACTTAGGTTTAGTACTTGGCAAGAGAGTTTGATGTAAGTATTTATATAACAGTTATACAAAGAGGTGATTGGGCTAGGATTATGCTCAACCATCAGTTTTTCCCCAATTAAGCGTTCCCAATTTAAAGGGGCGGGTGAGCCCCAGGAAGTATCTTGCCCGCTTGTTCGCCTTCTTTATCTACTAACGTAATCGTAATCTTCTTTTCTTTTGTTTCTTGAAAGAATCACCAATACCTGATTGGGATTTCGAAGTTCATTGTCTTCTGCTCATCGCTTAGTCATCTAGTACCTTTTTTTCTTAATGACTCAGTATCGACGAACGTTTCAACTATTGAATTTAGATAAAGTTGTAATTAGCAGAATTTACTTTCATTGTGCTAACAATCATGGCTGCAATTTAAGTTTTTCATCCTTGTACTAAAAATATGATTTAATCGATAAACTCTGATGAGGATTGTAAAGATGCAATGATCTCGTAATGGCATTAGATTTGTTTTTCAACAATAAAATTTCTAAATTCGGTTATGATTTATTCATTTAGTTTTTCGAACTGTATATCTGGTTTATTATACATTTATGTTTGTGCTTATGTGACTGGTTGGTAGCAGAAGAGTACCTCTTTGCGAGCTGTTTTTAACCTTTTCTAGAGGTAACAATCATATCATTTGAAGTGAAGTTTTAACATGAGACTGTGAAGGTTTTTCATGAGCCATGTCAGGGCACTTAAATGATGATTCGGTTATAATGAAGATAGTTTATCAAACCGAATGTGTTTCATTCCCTCCTGTTAAGAAATTTCCGACATGGCACCCAGGACACTTTGTTGTTGTGAATATATTAGTTCTGAAGGAGACATAAGACATTTATTAGATTGTTGCTGTAATTGCCCTGAGATTGATTATTGCTTTGACAGGTACACTTTATACTGTTATATTTTTTAAAGTATATTAATAATATAGTAAAATTTATATTCAATATGTATTTTTTTTTTTAGATTAATTACTTGTAAGCCAATTCCCACTAACTTGTGTGCCAGAATAATGACTGGTGCAACTGAAAGAATACGGTTCCCTTGGAAGGGTGGTGCAAAGCAATGCTCTCTTCATGTCATTTTACCTGTCGTAGCATTGCCTTTGTTTCTTACAGCAGCTGCGCAAGGCCTTTGGATTTCTGTAGTCGCTTTCTCATTTCTACCAATATTTCTGACTTATTTACATTATATTTTGATGAAATTTTATTCTTATAGTTCATTTTTCTTTGTTTGGAATGTTGCTTCCTTCGTGGAGGTATTTTTGATATTTGAAGCGATTGGGGTTGCACTATTGGAAATTCGTGCAGATGAAAACATTGCATTTATATGCTTGACATTGTGTGTATGTTTTTGCATTTACAAAATCAAGCAAAAAGAAAAGTTATCACATGTTTTAGCTGAATATGATGGAGACTTCAAGTTTAATTTACTTTGTCCTGAGTGCAATGTTAAAATACCACCACGGACATTTCATTGTTATACTTGCCAGGCTTGCATCCTCATGAGAGGACAACACTGTGCGTGGTAAGCTGTAGAATATATTTAGTCTTGGGTCCATTATAAATTCATGCTTAGTAGAATAAATGTTTTATTTTCTGTAATTAATGTTCACAGGTTTAATTGTTGCATCGGAGAAAAAAATCATAAATGGTACATGTTGTTTTTGATATTTAGCATAGTCTACCTTCTGTTTTGTGCAAATCTAATATTGACTACGGCTTGCCATCCAGTCCAATTCATCGGAGCTATAATGCTTCCTGATGACTGCAGTGAAGTATATTTTGACAGTTTGTAAGTAATTTATCTCTGTGTTTAATACTTGTATTAATATGTTCTTTTGTTATAATTATAATTAAATAATTGTTCAGAATAGCATTTTAGACCTGCAACACATTGATAATTAATTATTAAGTAATCTGAATTGGTTTCTTCTTGCTCTAGACATTTATAGCTTAACCAATATTTTATTCCATTTTTTATTACTACATATTTTCAGTTTAAAAAAAAAAATAAATTAAGATTTCCCATAACCTTAGATTTCATCTTGCTACACTTATTGAAGAAAATCAATAACTGCACCTAAGACTCAGTTAATTTAAAGAGATACATTTTATTAACATCTTATGATAATTTTTTTAAATCTAATTTTATATACAACCAACAAGTACAGTTATAGATAAATATATACATGTAAACATGATTAACAGCGTTGATATGCAACTGGTTTTACACCTTAACTTTATAATAACCAACTAATTCTAAAGCGTGTTTAAAGTTACGAAAGTTATCAATCCATGAACCTCTTCTTGAAGATTTTTTTATATACCTCTTTCCAATTAAGAGATCCTATCCTGTTTAAATTCTTATGTTAGTTGAGAGCTAAAAAAATTAAAAAGTTGGGGAATGTTAAGTTAAATTAAAAATTGAGAAAAGAGATGGTTTGGTATGACTGTGGTGGTGGTCATCAAAAAAGTTATGTTAAATCCATTTATAAATGTGAAAACTATTTATGTAACAATACAACTCTAACATGTATTGTAACATGCTTTATTTTTTAATTAACACCTTTTTAGCCATAAATCACTAAGGAAATATGGGATTGTAAGTTCTGAAGTTGGGAGTAAATTTCCCGAAACGTTAACATGTAAATTCAACAAATAAATCAATTGTATATTTGGAAGTTATCATTACCAAAAACAGAAAATTATTTATTAAGCTGACATTTTGACCCAACTATGTAGCTCTTTATTAGGACTGTGGTAGGGAAGTGCCTTCCGTACGGAATAGTCAATTTTGTGAAAAGAGCTGGTCTGAGATGACAGTCATAAAAAAAAAAAAAACAACTAAATAGTTTTCACTATTTTTAAGTTTTCTTATGACTTCTACCCCAGACCATCTATTTCCTCAATATACTATGGTCAACTATTATAAAATGACTGCTTTAGATCATCAAGTGAATACATTAGATGAATACCATATATAATATAAATTTATATTGTAAGAAAATAGCAATCATTTACCAAAATAAATGAACTGATCACAGTATCATTCTAAATAGTTTCTTATTTTAAATTGATAATGATTTTTTTTTTCAGGTGTGCCTTATGTTTTGTTACATCTATTTACTGTATCGAAGCAGCCATATTTATTATGTCCGTATTTGTATTTGAAATTTGGTTAATATCACTAGGGATGACTGGACATGAATATCGAAATAGAAGTAAAAGATCGTTCTTCTGCGGTTTACTTAGTTCCCGTCCTTACAGTAAAGGAATAATTCGAAACTGGTTAAATTACTTCAAAGGTATTTTTTTAAATATTTAAAAAAAATATGTATATCATAAATATATAAATAACAACTTTAAATTTGTTTGTTGATTATTATTTGATTTCTATTACTGTCTGTATGAAAAATTGTATAAGGTTATATATATATAAGCTCTATTTTTTAAAAGTAGGTTAAACATTTTTAAATAATTGTTATTAAAGACATATGGAAGTAATATTGTGTACCGATTGAGCTATTTGTAGTTCTAGCTTTGAAGAGGATCCCATGGTTGACTAAAAAAAAAGAAAATACCGGGATCGAAACGTCAATGAACAGAAGAAATGAACATTCAATAGTTTATTAAATAATATAATAAGTGACTTTATTCCCAATTAAATAGTTAAGTTTAAATATATATATATATACATATATATATATATATTGTATGATGTAGTTCTTTGCTTGAGGTTTCTTAAGGTACCATTATCTGTACAGCCTTTCACAGTTAGAGTATATACAACAGACAGCTCCACTTTATATCGTTTATTGATGATAAATGTCATCCACTGTCATACTTAAAGGTGGGATTTAGAGGACTGTCTTAGGAACTTTCTTGAACTTTTAACCTTTATAAAATTTGTTTATCAGTTATTTTTTCTTATTGTATTCTTAAAACCATTTATTTATCAAGAAACCGTTTTGATACCAATAAATCCTGATTTTTTTTTTTTTCATTTACTCCAAAATGATTGTATTTTTAAAAATACAATTATAAATTCAAATAATAAAACAAAGTAGTTATTTTTTTTTTTTAATTTTATGAAGCCATTTACATTTTTTTTTTTATTTTCTAGGTTCCGATGCAAGTTTTCTGTATTACAACATTTGATTTATCTACTGAAGACAACATATGTATGTTAGTGAAGGAAGCAGAAGCTCAGTGAAGCTTTAAGCACACTGTCCATTGCAACAGACAAGAAACGGGAAGGCATTCTCTGCAGGCATTAAATTATCTGATCATGCTTTATGCCGTGTCTTTTTAAGTTTCATCTGGCGAACTAGATGCATTAGATGCTACTCTGCAGACACTAGAAGACATGGGATGGCTTCTCCAAATTTTTTGCGTAGATGTGTCAGCTTAGTGTAAAATTATTATGAATGTTTATTGTATCATTTTAACTTTGAGACATGAGCTGTTATTTGTTTAATATTTGTTGAAAAAGTGCCCTGTTTTCATTGGATTTAAATTTTAGTTTTCATCAGTGTCAGTCAGTTGTATAATTTTTATGAAAAAAAAGTTTATGTAGTAGAGAAATTAGTAGGAATATTGAAGTTCTGATTCAGAGTGCTTTATTTACGTGCTTTTTGCTGCTTAGTTTGTTATTTGTATTGTTTTAAACTGATTTCAAATCAACTGATAATAAACTTTACCAAAGAGGTTATCTCAATCACATTAGGAATGAGTGGATTTTATTTGATTAAAAATGTAATAATAACAAATTTTAATTTTTTATGAAAAAGTGTTCTTTTTTTGTTGGTGTTATGGCTCGGTGTGGTTTCACGTTGATCTAACATGATTTTGAGTAAATTCTTGTGGGATATCTTCATATTCATCCATCAGAATATTCTTTTTTTTTTTTTTTTTTTTTAGAAAATTAAACTTTATTCTGGGACTAAGTTCCTCAATATTCCTTGAAAATAATGATAATATAGTAATAAAAAGACATAATGAACCCACAGGTTTGATCTTAGTTTGCACTTTTCATACTTAATTTTACACCCATTGTTTTTATCTCTACGTTTAAAAATTGCCTGGAGAAAAATATCATTTTAGATTTATAGATTGACAGAACATGTGATGAATGTGTCATGATATGACTATAATAAGCTGTTATATTTAGAAATCTGTTGTGCTCGAAATATTTCAAAATGGATCTAGTTCTGTTGATAAGGTTCAAATCAAAGTTATCTAGCCTTGTCTGTTACAGTGGACAAACAGGTTTAGTTATTTAAAAAAAAACAAATAATTTGTTTGTAGTCTTTTAAGGATTCATAATTAATGTTGTTATCAGAAGTGATTAGGGAAATGAACCTAAATACTATATCATATATCTTTTAAACAAATTGAACTTATGCACACAGATGTGTAGAATGAATACCCACATCATTTAGTAGTTGCTTTCTTAGAGCTGATGTGTTTTAGGAAAATTATTCCTATGCGTGCATACTACATATGAATATTGTACCATAAGCTCAGACATTTTTATGAGAGAGTTAAATAAGAAAATACAATACTACATTTAATTGCTCAATATAGAAGTAATTGAATTTTATTATAATTTGGTTTGGGACACTTTCAGATTACTTAAAACTAGTGAAAATTAACTTTTCTCTATCAGAAATGTCGCAACATATATTATTTACAAATAGCAGCATAAAACATTTATAATCGTAATCATATTTCAGAACTAATTGTTTTTCCAACTTTATTGCTGCCATATAACCACAACGAAATACGTGAAAACATTTAATTACACTTATATATTGTGTTTTAATAGAAACAGTTAATAGTCATGGTCAGATGGGTGGGTTTAGATAATTTGAATTTCTTATTTTAAATGGTTTGAAAGTGTCACTTTAAATCATGTATTTCTTTCAATAAGTGAATAATTGACTGTGATTAATCATTGGCTTTAAATACGTAAGGTATTTGTCCATTTTAATATTAATCAAAGTTTTAATTTATGATGTTTTTTTTTAAACTTTATTCTTATTTTATCATTTATATCGTTAAAATATTCTGTACCATTTGAACTTATGGTAATAATGGTTGTAAACCAATGTTATTAGTCTTTAATTAATCTGTATTTATTTATTTGTAATAATTTATGTTTCTGTATATATTTTTATTTATATTTGCTATTTATGTGCTATTAGTATCTTTTGCAATAAATGATTTATTTATATAGTTTATTCATTTTTACTGTTTTCTTTTTAATTGTCTGTGGATTATTTAATCATCACCATTATTTATCATAATAACTTATTTATACAGCTGATGTCAACTATATTACCTTCAAGGCATTCATTACTTCTCAAACAATTTTTTTTTATGGAAAAATAAAAAAACATTTCTCTCTGGATGAGTATGTGGAATATACTTTGACCAGTTAATGCATTGTTATTGCGTCCATTCTTTTTCGATTATCACCTAAATAAGCATTCCATAAGAAGTGGTCAAAGTAGATTAAAAGTAATTACCAACAAATGTAAATAAAATAAATAATTTACTCATCAATGATGACTGGCAAATAAAATTTTAGTTACAGAAAATTACATTCACTGATAAAATTCAGTTTAATTTTAAAATAATTTGAGCTATCAAACTTGAAAAAAAATGTTACATAGCTTTTTGTAAATTGATTAAATACATTTTATTTAATCACAGGTCAGTATTTTAAACTCAAAACATTTGGGGGATCACACCAAATAATTTGAGCCATCAAATTTAAAAATCAATCCAGCTCAAAAAATTGCTACACAGCAGACAACGCAAACAAATAACGCTTGTGTTGCTTGGCTTATTCGGGTAAAAAATAAATGGATTTTTTTTTAAATTTTATTTTTTATGGAAAAGAAGGAAATAATTAAATATTAATGATACATTCCTGTACTTTATTCATTTTGTATTTTACATAGAGATTTAAAGTAATACACCATTAACACATAAAACATATATGTAATATTTGTAGAGTTTGACAAGAAGCCAACTTATTTGTCAATTTACAACTGTTAATTATCTTGTGCACAAAAATAGTGATCTACAATAATATATGTTTTTTAAAAATAATCATACAACAAATTATTATTGAAAATGAAATAATATAAACATTAGTAAAGGGTTTCACTCAAAATATACTTAAAAATATAAGTTTAGACCTATGTTTTTTGTATTATAAATATACGGTATGCCAATTACTGTCAAAAACTATGAAAAACTTTAGTATTATACTGTATCCTTTACACATATATAAATACTCATAACTATTTTATTTAATTTTTTTTTTTACACTGATCTCTATACATAAATACATTGAACAAATGCTACTTCCTATATGAATAAATTTTACATATTTTATTACACATATATAGGGTTTACATGGATATACACTTAGACATTGATGATTTTTATTTTTTGTTGGATTTTATTAAAAACTAAATAAAAAAACTTTAACACATTCATTTAGAACATTAGGGTCTATTACTAACTGTAGTTTTTTTTTTGTTTGTTTTTTGCTACTTTTTCATCAAAGCTCTATTGTCATTTAACTGTTTTTTTTTATTCTGAATAGAAACTGCGAGTGGTTCAGCTTCAATTTTAATCCGTAGGAAACACTGGATTGAAGATATTAATACTCCCTATACTAATTGTAAACATACTATTAAAATTGAATACAAATTTAAAAACTCACGTTTTTTTACCACTGACAGAATCTAATCAGAAAAGACAGCTTTCGCAAGGAACGGCAATAAACTTTTATGAAATAAAAACATTTATATAAAGCAGAAACTTATATTATCTATGTTGCAAGCTATCTAAAGAAAGCCTAGACACACTAAATATTTTCAACATCGATATTTTGTCAAAGCAATTTGTTAGAAATATGTTGTAACACATTTTATCATTATATATTCAATGATATTATATGTGATGTTAACTTAAAATAAGTTAAAAAGTAGTTAGAAAATAAATTAAAACATATTGTTAGTAGGATAAATTTATATTTTAAGTTACTAAATAAAATATATATAGAGAATTTTTAAATGAAGTAAGTTAAAATAAATATTAATTATTATATAATAATAGTAAAAGTATTATTTGATTATATATTTATATAAAAAAAATAAAATAATAAAAAGGTCTTCTGAATCGGTTGCCATTGTGTTGAAATTAGACATGATGAATTATTTAAATCCTCATAACCATGACTACAATTTTTACAACCGATATTTCTTTTTTTAAGGGACAAAAATATAATTTAAAAACTCAAGATGGACGTTGAAGGTGTGTAAGTTTTAATACAACGAGAGTAATAATAACAGCATAAGCTAACATCCAGGTTATAACTTCTACCTGACAAAATATGATCTGGAAATCTTTTATATCAATTATTGTTTAAAAGCAAAATGGTCCTGTGAAAGCGGCTAATTTTTAAAAAATAAGTGCAAGTTATTAATTTTTTTTTTACATATCCAGATTAATATAAAAGAATGAAATGTATAAATTATACGTATTTTACAAAAATATAGGACTTTCATGGAAAGCCTAATAAAATTTCAAAATAATTTCCAGATCAGTCTAATGTATTTTTTTTTATTATCTATATTATATATTTTTCTAACACACGTAGTTCTAGGGATGAAATGACTACATAAATCTTAATAAATTAGCTCACAATGTCTTGCAATTGAGCGTATAAATTTTCACTCTTTGGAATTAAAATTAGTTTTAAATTTTTCTGAAAATTATAACTCGTTAGTTAAACTCAACAAATTAAAAGTTTTATTAATTCCAAATGATTTTAGTAACATTTAAAAAAAAAAAGTTAATATCAATTATTTGGATTTAGTGTGAGATTTCTACAACAGTAAATCATTATGTTTGTGAGGCTCATCAAGCTCACTTGAATCAAAATGAGTTACTATTTTATTTTTTTCCGAGGACTCATAAATTCAAATCAGAAATCGTGATGTTTTTGGTTTTTGAATACATCTGGTAATTCTGAAGCACCATTTTACTGCATCACATGCTGTCCCTTTTCCATTATTTATTAATACTTTTGACGGCCATAGAAAAGCAATTTGGTTAATATTCAATTTTTTTTTTTTTTTTTGCCACTTGCTGTTAGAGAGTATATAATTTTCACAACCACCTCAATAGAATTAGAATGTTAAACATGTCCTCAAACTTAGAGAGCATACACGCTTTGAAGAAGTTTTCCACAAATCTGCATAATATTAATCCTAATTAATAATAAGTTTAATAATTTCGTGTTTATGACTTTGTTTTTCGAATTCAAGAATGAACTATTTTAATCATATGCATGTGGTGACTGAATAAAACTATTTGAAATAAAATAAATCAACAGTTTATTGCAAAAATTCAGTAAGAATATTATTGATGGAACTAAACGTCTGTTTTTGTGAATTTCGAACTTATTCATCAATAAAACGTACACACAATGTTCTGATTACACAGGGGAAATATTAATCAAATTACTTAGTGATTTAATATTATGAAATGTAACGTCATGATTTTTTGCAATAAGTCGACTTAATTCAATAGAGATTTTCAAATTCAAAGACTGAGATTTGAAGATATCAATAATAAAAAAATTATAAATTCTACCCTCCACCATTAAATTAAAAAATATACTTTTTTTATAATACATTTTAAAAAATATTTTAGGAAAAAATAAATATATTTAAAGAAATTGTAGGGATTAAAAAAAAAAATCAAAAAGAATAAATTGTTTCAAATTTGCTGCAGTTACAAATTTCATGTATATGTTATTCTTTTTAAATATTAAGTTATCTGCAAAAAAAGTTTAAATGGATATAATTTAACGGAGACTACCTCAAAATAAATTTTGGTTGCTCTAGTTTCGGATTGAAGAAGTCTATTATAGCTAAATTTAAAATTGTTATTGTTTTACTTTATTGTTAGTGTGCCCTCCCCCGTAGAAACACACAAAGGAGAAAGAAACTATCCTTCCTAGAAGTTTCTTTTGATTCCCACAAGTATTGAAATGGCTGGAGGTAGAAAAGTTAAACCTTATTAATTTTGTGCATTCACGCATAAGACTCGTAAAAAACCTTTTCGAAACAATACCTCATTTTCTCTCAAATATGGCCTTAATACGTTTTTTTTTATCTCAGTGCTTCGATTATTGAATCACTGATAATCTGCTATATGGCTTAGTCCCTGCTGTGAACAATAATAATGTTTCATTAAAATTTGAATTTTCTCCTAAAATAGAAAATTAATGTCTTATTGTGGCTATTATCCTTTAATTTTGAATGTGAAAAAAAAAAAAAGAATTTTACTGCGGTAGCCACACAATAAATCTATCCCAGACTTCTTGCACCAAGCAGATTAGAGTAAGTTTATCAGAATTTGTCACATCCTGATGAATTAACTGAACTTAATGACTAATTTTTTCCACACTTTACTCACTTTATACGAAAAATAAAAATTGTTAACTATTTTTTTATTTTTTCAACTAATGCATTTATTAAACAAAGAAATGAGTCAAACTTTTAAAATAATACATTTTTTTAAAAGAATTAATCATACATTAAAAACAAAGAAGCCTAAATATAAAATGAACAAATCATTGAACTAACATAAATTTGTTTATTTATTTAAAATATTTGAAATAATTGTTAATAAGTGCCTTTAAAAAAAAAAAAAAAAAATCAAAGTAGAAATTTCAATCAATATATTGGGTAGCATATCAATATTTAAGTTTAATAAATTAATAAACGAATGGATTGTGTATTAGCCATATGTTCAGCGGTAACCGAATGTTAATATGATATTAAGGATTAGTCATTTCCATCTTAAAAGTTTTAATAAGAGCTCTATTTCTTACAAGCTGTAAGAATACAAACGCGTCTTACATATATAATAGACGCACTTCATTTTTATATTTGTTCATTACTTATATAACGATGTGTAGCTTGTTTTTACGAAAAAAGATTACTCATTCTGGCTGAGGTTACATTGCAGATGATTATAATTATAATTCAGTTTTGAATTTGACTAGTTTGTTGTAGAGTAGGAAAAATCAAGACAACTATTTGGTCACACTACTCCCGTGCTGAAAGTATAAATTTTTCAATCTGAATAGCTGTTGCTAGGGAACAAGCTAATTTGTCTCTTCATAACCACTTGGAGTTATTTTTTTTTCTTTTATAACTTTGATGTTACTTTTGTCATTAAGAAATCACCGCTACAAACAGGTCCAGATACGACTGTATGAGGTTGAGAAGGATCTGTACGAGAAACCTTGAGTAATCAGAGACACTGATTTCAGGACAAAATAAGTTAGTTGCCACTGAATAATATTCTTTCTTTCTCATGCTTTATTAAAATTATACTTTATATCTAATACGAAAGTTGTCAGAGTAGTTTTGCGATTTAGAATTACATAGTAAATATAAAACAAAATACTTTTTTTATTGATAAAATATTTGATTGATACAAAAATTTGAAGGCCATTTCGTCTAAATTATTACAGAAATCTTTTAAGAAAAATGTGAACTGAAGTGGCTAAAGAAAGAAAAGGATTTCATAAATATATTTTTTAGAGTATTTATTACTTATTTAATACTCTTTTGTACAAATATATTTCAATATTTTTTTTTGCTAATCATGAAACACCTTTTTGGTGCAAAGACTATTATACAAGCTCCTCTTGCACCATTTAGTACACGACATTTAAGTATACTACTTACAGGAAAATATAATTCGTCTAGAGGATTCATTTTTCGTCATAGTGATCGAAAACTCATTTTAACTTGAGTAGGCTGACTATGGGACTAATATCAGTTTGAGCAGAGGACTTTCATGGTAATATTACACGCATGCGATGTATCCTCAGCCATGGATCAACAAGAATACATAAAGTAACCTCTACCAAAATTAAACATTTATATAATTATAACATATCTAGCTGATTGAATTAATATATAAAAATTAACTAAGCAGCACGGGTATATAAAAATGCTTTGACAGTCTAAATCCTTTACAAAAATTAAATTTGCAATATATTCCTTATTGTTAAAAAGCTAGGTATGCTAAATAAACTATCCAATATTATAACAACACGATACATCATAAAAAAGTTTTCATATTGCCCATCCCTCAAAAGAAACTTTCAGTTAGTATGGTTTCTTTTACAGTCATGTATTACTTTTTTTTCTTTTTAATACATATACTTTTGGAAATCTTCAAATCTCTTTTAAAATATGATAAAATATAGAGACTAATATATGTCCCACAAAAATAGATATTATTATCAGCCTCTTATTTGAAAATAGAGACAAAACTAATGGATTATGTTAACATAGAGATCTTATATTAGTATATTAACTTCTAAGTCTTCAAGGTATGCCTTTCTAGTACAAACTGCAATATCATTACCTAAAAAAGAAAATATGATTTATTTTAATAATTATTTTGTAATAATCATTTTAAAAGTATTTTAAATAATTAGAATATACATATACAGTCAGTACTTAATAACTTGAATTTTATTCGAGTTATCTATACTTCAAGTTATCAAAATTCAAAACATCAATTTCAAGAATCGGCTTATGAAAGTTTAAAAAAAAAACACAGTAACCAATGCTATTCATTATGAATAAACTGATAAAGAATATCTAAAATAATGCATGGTAAAAATTACTTTGAGACATGCTTAAATTATAACGAGAAAATTTACTACTAGTATGTGCTATATTAAATTATAAATTTTAAACACACTGAACTGAAAACTAAAAATCTTTTCCTTTTAGGATCTAGAAGGATACAAAAGGAAAGAAATTAGTACTATGTACACTATCTCTTTCTTCTTTTTATAGGGACTTAGAAATTGAATTTATATTTATCGACACTTTCTTGCTTGGGGTTATGTATAGAGGGATGCATACTAACTATAGATATAGTGCTCAAAATATGAAGAAAATATAAGAATTTATTGGGACTGACATGAAGTCTGGAATTAAGGAAATAAATTTAAATAACTGAGCTCCATTAAATCAAAATGGGCTATCTTACAATATACTCACTTTCGTAAAATGTTAGAAGCTTTATCTTAGTATTTAATGAAAATCTACCTTTATTAATTTTAGATTATTAAAGGTCACAAATCCTACAAAAATATCCCAAAACATGTAATGGATTGAACATTATTTCCATGAAAGAAAAAAATACTTTTGAAGAATTGATAAATGATTTTAAAAAATAGGTTCATCTTAATATTAATAATGAACTGAATTCGTCAGGCAACAAACTAAAAATAAAAAAATAAATAAGTATAGTAAAAAAAATAATTTGTATTATAACTTTTTAATTTGATTTTTGTAGGTCAAGATGTGAAATAATAAAAATTAAATAAATAAATAAAAAGCAAAAATAAAATATAATATATAAAACAGACAGGAAAATTGAGATTTTATTTACTGAGAGTTCAAAGAAAGTTACAGGAGCAAACAGAGAAAATTGATCTATATATTGTCAACAAAGGTACCAACAAATATTAGCAAATTAAAATTTCATGTTGGCTTGTCCAATGATGATTAAAAGTTTTCAAACTTACATTTGATGTTTATTCTGGCTTAAGCCTATGCCACTGCACAATGGTTTGGCGGGGTTTGGTTATCATGTCCTGCCAGTGTTTTGTTTCAGTAGCTCCAGAACCATTCTTTCCTGAAAAATAGTGTTAATATTAGATGGAACGGTGGTGTATGAAACATTAAATAAAATGGATAAATACTTTAGCCAGAAAGGATAAGAATAAACAGTGATTTTATTTTATATTTAATAAAGTTTTCTTTTAAAACTTTTTTATTTTCTTCATATATGATATGATAATAAATACTTTGACTTCCAAAATCATAAATATTCATGTACGTACCAACTGTTTAGAACAGAAAAACTTTATTAGTAGAGAAAATTTACTCTGAGCCTAGGTCTGTTAAGAATAAAAAATGAGACACAAACTGTATATACATTCTCATCAGTAAATATATACATATACACTGACCGGCAAAAAATTCCACCCACTTGTAAAAAAAGTTATATTTGTATATAATACATGGTATTTGTAGATAATACTTAGTATTTATGGAATTTTATAATCTTTTTTATCTTTAATAATCAAAATGTGATTGGGTAAGAAAGATTAGAGAAAAAAAAATTGAAAAACGAACCATTATTATTGTAAAAGAAATTAATTACATCATCGTTTAGTAGCGCGTGTTTCCTCCTCTTGCCTTCACTACTTCTTGAAGATGCCTCGGCATACTTTCCACCAGTCGGGAAATGTCCCTTTGCTGGAGGATAGCCCATTCCTCCCGAAGAGCCCTTTCAAGGTCTTGCAGTGTATCAGGAAGTGTTGCAGTCGCTCTTATTCGTTTTCCGAGATTATCCCATAAATGCTCAATGGGGTTTAAATCTGGAGAAAGTGCTGGTCAGGCTAAAACCTCAATAGTGTTCTGTTGAAGGAACATCTGCACTATGCGGGCGACATGTGGGCGTGCATTATTGTGCATTAGAATAGAACGATCGCTGATTTCGTTGATGATAGGCAACACATGTGGTTCCAAAATCTCATCTACATAGCGAATGGCTGTCAAAGACCCTCCATGAACAATAACCAATTCTGTGCAGCGCTCCATTGAAATCCCAGCCCACACCATTAAGGAACCATGTTGGAAAGGTTGACCCTGGAAAAAATTACAGGCTGGATATCTTTCGTTTCTTCTTCTCCACACCCTTTCACGCCCGTCTGGAGATAGAAGAGCAAATCTTGACTCATCTGTAAAAAGTACAGCATTCCATTCGTCCATAGTCCAATGGCTGTGTTCTCGAGCAAAAGCCAGCCGTGTGACTCTGTGAGTTCTGGTCAACTCTGGACCTCTTACTGGACTAAAAGCCATTAATCCATACTCATTTAATCTTCTCCGAGCGGTACGTTCAGAAATTTGCATACCTCGAACTTCTTCGAGCTGATGAATCGCTTGAACAACGCTAAGGTGCCGGTTTCGTAAAATTCTTAAAGTCAAAAACCGGTCATCCCGTGGTTCTGTTACCCTAGGGCATCCAGAACCGGGCCTTCTATTGTAAGAACCAGTTTTCCAAAAACGCCTGACGGCGTCTTGTAAAGTTTCATATGGAACTCCGATGGCATTAGCTGCATATCTAATGGAACGTCCATCATCAATAAGTGCCACACCACACGCAACATCCTCAGCACTAAGAGGCATTTTTAAACTTAATATTGAAAAAATTAAAAGCCGGAGACTAAGAAAGAAATGTGCTGCAAGAAACGGCGCTGAACTAATGATACTGAATAAACATTTTGATTCCATAGAAAGTAAACATTGGAATCTAGAATCATTTCATTGAATTAAGGATTAAGAGTTATTGTCCTCTATATTAACATTCCCAATTGAAAACAAACAAAAACATTACCTATTTATTCATTAAAAACAATAGACCAATACAAAGCAGAAATATTTTTAAATGAAAACATGAAAAAATCAAGTGGGTGGAATTTTTTGCCTGTCAGTGTAGAAAAAAATGAAGAGCATCGTTTTGGTCTTTGAGAAAGTAATGGAAAGTGAGGGATTTGAATGAAGAAATGGAAGGAGCATAGCGGGTTTAGATGGCAGGTAATTCCAAAGCAGAGTAGGCAAAAAAGGATTATTGAATGTTTTAGTTATGTGGAAAGTTGTATAGATGTAGTAGGAAACATGAGATCTTGTTTTCTGGGAAGGGACCTAGGGTTTAAAGGTAGGAGACGTTAGATATAGAAAGGGCGCTAAAATATTTAAAAATTTTCTTTTTATTCATAGCCCCCTTTTTAAATATCTTGTTCTGGTAATTTTCTGCCCTTTTACTGCTAAAAAGCATTGTAAGATTGTATTGTGTTTCTATTTTTTCATTTCTGTGAATTTTATTGGTATAATGGGGGCTAAGAGTTAATAGTTTGGTATAAGAGGGATCCAAGGAAATATTGCCGATGGGGGGAGGGGAAGAGGCACTTGAACTCCCCTTAATGGTTGTTTAGGTCAATTTATTATGTTATATCTTCGTGCTTCATTTATAATATAGAGCAGACCAGAAATGAAGCGTTAGTCAGCTGGATATGTTCTATTAAATAAATTATTGTTCCTGGCTCTGCTCTACAGACTTATAATGAATGAAACCTATTAGCACTAAAAAAACACATTATTCATATAAATCGTCTATATTAACTATTCAAGTAAAAAACAAATAAATGAAGCTATTGAATATAGAAGAAATACCTGCTAGAAGAATGCGGCCAATGAGCTCATTACGGCCAATATTGTCAAAATCCATCACCATAACATCGAGGGAACATTCTCTTATCTTTTCCCAAGGTACGTTGAAGCTGAATGTTTCATTGAAGACAGGATTAAGGGTGCATTTGAATATTGGTGTCTTCCTCTTTTCAATCCTTTTCTCACCAAATTGCAGCCAAACTTTGACGTATGGATCTGAAAAAAAAAAAAACAGATAACAGATTTTTATCATTAGGAGGCAAAATAATGTTTAGCAAATACAAGATTTTTTGATTTTTCACAAATATCTGAAAATCCCATGAACCGAACAATAGGAAACTACGACAAGAAATCACTGAAACTGTACACACACACACACAAATGGACTAAACAAGTACTCCTAAACTCAGAATAATCATGTTTTTTTTTTTTTACTATAATTTAACAAATTTATAAATGTATTTTATAAATACATTCATGTATTTTTCTTTGTTAGATTATTTCAACTGCATACAAAAGTTTCTGCATTCTATTTAGCAAGCACATCACTAGTATAATATATGTAATGTAATAATGTAACCATAAGCATGTAAACATTATTACGACATAGTGCATTGTAACAATATGTAAATGAATGATAATTAAAATGAATTAATCCAAATGAATTAAAGTATATGAACCCGAAATGTCCTTAAATGCCATCTGTATTTGGACTGATTAAAGGAAAATGGAACAGAAGTCGCTTTCCAGTTGATACCAGGCCATTGAGGGCTCCACGGAAATGATGAAGCTGACAAACTGGCCAGAATAGGTTCTGGAATGATTCAACCAGATATTACTCTGGCCATGGATTCAACGAAAAGAATAATAGAACACTCTCCGAAGTTTACTGAAGGAGAAACATGAGCAAAAAATTGAAGGGAAGCGATGGAGTGGATTGCTGGAAGAAAGTGGCAGGATCCAGAGAGACCTCCCTAGAGGGCAAGCCGTGGCATGCTTTAGAATGCTCACAGGGCATGCTTTCCTGCAGAAGCACCTTAACCGCATCGTTATAAAAGATAGCCTGACATGCTCTCTGTGTTCCTTGGATATAATGACATTACAGGACACAAGATATTCCTTTAGTGAAATGGACAGCTCTTATGCTAGGAGAGCAAAATTATATAGGACTGCAAGAGTACGCATGGCTGATCAAGCAGGCGTTACTTAGGCGTAAGAAAAAAAAAAAAAAAAATAATTAAAAAAAAGTTTAGAATTGTTTGTGAGATCAGTTCCTTTATCTTAAAAGTTAAATTTTAAAAGGTTGCCATTTTAAATGAAAACGTTACAATACTTCAGGAAAAGTTACTTTGTCATTGTAATATTCAAATATACAATAACTATTAAATAATTTCTAACAGTTTAGAATAAAAGTGGGATGAATCATTAGAAGAAAAGTAAAAAAATAAAATTTCTTCCAGTACTTTCATATTAATGAATTTTATTTCTTGATTTGCACGGTTGAATACTAGCTTGCAGTATGATTTAGATAACAAAATAAATGTAAATAGTTATATTAGATCCACATTAAAGATATTACCTGATTTTCCATTGATATCTTTAGCCTTTAGATTCCTTGCCTTCAGTAAAGTTATGGTGAGTATACTGTTGCTCGGGTGATAACATAGCGAAACTAGGAGTTCACCACACTTGTCCTTCAATGGAGGTTTCAGCGCCTTCCAAAAAGAGGGTTTCTCTGATAGATCAACCTAAAATAAGATAAAAATATTGAATAATTGTTTGCTCATATCGAGCCAAAATTAATTTAATAGACATATTTCCAGTTATAGTCTGGCTAAACCTGTTGGAAGAATGGACTGAATAATATTTAATAAATTTATTGCATTATTTTGCTGATAAGTTTGTGACCTAAGCAGCATTCCAACATGGTAAAATTAAAATTAGATATTTGTTGAAAAAATCTACACTCTTATACTAGAATCTTGATCTTTACACTATGGTTAGAATAGATTACAAACGTATTGGATTAACATCAATAAATAAAGATGCTAAATGTAATAGACAATGTATTACTAATACACATGCATTTTGGATACATAATGCTGTATGATAGGAATTTTCCCAATTCCCAATCTAAAAAAATAAAAACATTTTTATTAAAATTACAATAAACTAGCTGAATATTTATTTAACTTTAACAAATATTTATATAGTGAAGAAATTTAGCCGACTGTTCCACATATCATAGGTGATAAATAGTCAAGACGCATTCAACTTTTAAGATTTTTTAATGCTGCCAAGGTTTCAACTCAAGCTTGCGGATCACCATGTCACGTTACCAGCACTGAAGGTGTTTAAGTACTTAAGTATTATGAGTACTTGTAAGCTTGAGTTGAAACATTGTCCACAATAAAGAAAATCTTAAAAACTGACTGCTTCATGACTATTTATCACCTATGATATTATTATATACCTTAACCAATAGATACATTTTTACATTGTATTTTAATTTTAATTTATACACAAATTAAATAACTAACTTTGTTGTTAGTTCTATTTAATAACTTGTGATTTTAACCTAAAGATATACATAAGGCAATCTAATATATTATTAATTAGAAGTAAAACATTAAATATAAAATTTTTTCCACATATCGCAAAGTAATTAATATACAATTATAAGGAATAGTAAATTTCATTAGGTATCTATTGTGCACGAAGTAACATAACATTTAGTAAACAGGTTTCTCCACCACTCACGTAAAATTAAACATTGTAATGGACTCAAACCTCAACCACCAGTTTTAAAAGCTTCATTAATTATTTGACTTGAAACTCTACAAGCTGTGAATTCTCTGAACAACTGGTAAGGTATATTATTAGCTTTTATTATATCAATGCAATATGAACAGTAATATAAAAGGCAGTGTTAACATAGAGTTTTTTAGAATATTACTGATTATATTTAAAAATTCAATATTTGATCCTTTAAATATGATTAAAGGATATAGCTATTAAGCTCTGATATGCATAATTAATTATTTAATTAATTATGCTGTATACATTATACTATTATCTATTTTAAATGATTAAATAAAATATTAAATTTAGCATTTTTTTATAATTTTTATAGTACATTTTTCTTTGCATTTTCTTTGGCATTAATTTTTCTATTTTTTATTAATTAAGATTAGTTATTTTATATGTATATATTTACATTTTAATTATTATTTTTTAAGAAGCTACTGATAAATTATATTATGAAATTAATAATATATTTTCATGCAAATAAGTTAGTATTCTACTTAAAGATAGAAATAATTAATTTCTCAATAACAAATATGGCTTTTTAACTTCAGAAAGTTTAATTTCAAAATGTTTTATATTTAATAAATGTTAAGAAATTATTATAAATAATTAATATTATCTGTTAACATAGTTTTTTTAAAAATAATTAGTACCTAAAATGCTAAAGTTACAATACACTATAATTCTTTTTGTGTTGCTTACATTAAAGTAATGAAGTATTGGAGTTTAGAGTTAAATAATTTACATTAATATCATAAATACCGAGTAAATGAGAGACCAATTAAGGATGTTTCTACAGCATTAATCATTGTGGTAATATTGAATAAATCAACATTATTTATATTGATGATAAATTGGCTGATTAATTAACTATCAATAGATCCACAATTAGTATGGTCCCTAAACACTCAACATAATTGACTTGAAGATACCGGGAAAATTGTCCCATTGTGGTCAAACAAACAAAATAACTGAGAAAATTATTGTTATCGACTAGGATCTTTACTGATGTAAATATTTTCAAAATTCTTCATTAAAAGGCACCAATTTGACTGTTAATGGTTTTTTCTTCCTTGAACATAGTTTTGTATTGTCCCAGAATATTTTTTAAGCAGAAAATGAATTATTTTTCAGTTCTTTTTTGAGGAAATGTGTTGTATATATAAATTTAATTGACTGAAAGGAAAATACTTCCTGAAAAACAGTGGAATATTTAGAATTTTTCAAGAAATTCATCCTAACTTTTATGACATATTTTTGTCTAGAAAATAACTTTACAGCTAAGGGGGGAGGCACCGGAATATAAGAGAAATACATATACATATTCATATATATTTTTCTCGAACTTTTTGAAAGTATATTTATATATGCTCAAATATTATGTAATCATAGTAAAAAAATACTTCGATGTGATTATTTTATCAATTTTTTATTAATAAAACAATTTACACACCAACATTTTGAAGATTTCCATCAGGGTACCATTTCCAGAAAACAATACAATAATGTAACAAATTAATGATTATTAATAAATAAACATAATTAATAAAATCACAAGCTGCATTAAATTTGGTTATTAGTAATAGGTTAAATTAAAAAATATTGTGCAATATTTATTAAAGGTAATAGTAAAAAGTTTATATATATATAAGTAATATAGATTATTATTTTTATGCACTATTGATGCCTGAATAGGCGAAACGTTGGCAACTTAACTGTTCACCTTTATGCTAGAGAATCATGCCTTTATAATTTGGATTTTTCCATTTATAACGTAATCACTGTGCATCTGTATGCTTATTTTAGTAGATTATAATTTATTTTATCAATATTTATATTTATACAATATTTATTTATTCGTAATGGTTAATTTGTTATACTGTTTTCATAGAATGAAACTCTGATAATGGAAGATATCTCCTAAACATTGGCGTGCAATATGCTTTATTAATAAAGTGGTATTTTATGGAAGTATTTTTTTTAACTAAAATTATATAATTTCTGATTATATTCATAAATTTTATAAATATATGATAAATGTCAACATAATCTCCAAGATTCTTGTTCCATGATGATTCTTGTTGGTTCTAAAACTTATAGAAAATACATCACTCTTTTCTAATGACCATCGCTTTAGTGCAAAAGTCGATTACTTTCGGGAAATATTCACCGAGAAGAATTTTCTGAAGTACTGCAACTGGGAATGGACCAACTATATCATTTAGCATGCGAAATCTTCCCGGTTTAAACAAAGCATTGGATGTTATTTGCTGTATCAGCTAGAGCGAGGATAGGATTAGAGTTATCGGCTCGCTTGCCGCTTAAGTACCCTTCGTTAAGGTTAAACCCTAATTACCCCCTCGCTTCCCCCCTTCATTCGTTTAGGCTCATCATATGAATGACCAAGCGGAATGAATTTACCTCCATGTAATTTCAATGTCCGTAGATCTGGGTATCATAATTTCTGCATGAAAATCCAATTTCGTTTGTTAAGTCATGAATTTTCAAATAAACTTTTTTTTTATATTGATAATAACTTATATTAGTGTGTATACATATACAAAAAACCAAGAGGAAATAAAGGCCAGCAACTTTGATAAAAAATTGAGAGATTTGAGGAGAAATTCATCCGTGAGATAACCTATATGGAATAATAGGATTAGCGACGGGGGGAGAGGGCGGGAGGGAGAAGAAATGAAGAAGAACTGCTTACAGAAACTGGTCAATTAATATCTCATGGTCTGGAGGCAGGAAGGTTAAGATGGGCGGAGGATTTAGCTTAAAAAAACGCATCAGAAATCCTCTACACTGTGACATGGTTTATGATTAGATTCAGGTAGTTCAAACTTTTTTAAAGATACAGTTATACAAAGATACAACAATTATATTTTGTTCTTATAAGAGAACATATGTTAATAACAACAAAAAGTTCATTTGATGCATGGGTCGATTCCAAACGGAAAAAGGAGTTAAGATCAATTTTGTGTGGTCACGTTTTTTATTGAATAAGAAGGAATTCCTGTTCAGAATAATAAAATTTTAAGTACACCATGGTAAATTAGACAACATTTTTTTTTTTTGAGAAAATAGAGACTAAATTTACTGAGATCGGTTATAAAAGGGACTTTCAGGATTTTTTTATATTACTTGAGGATTTTTTTATATTATATTACTATAAACGTAGTATTTATCTAGACAATGTTCTCCCAATTATTACATTTATTCATACAATGTAATACACCTATCCTTTTAATCGATTATTCCCCACAATGTACTTGTGTAAATTGTTCTTTCAGAAATGTAGCGTTATGGGTTGGTGTAATAGAAATAAAATTATGAAAATGTTCCCTAAATGTCCATGTTTTCGAAATCTTTAAAATCAAAAAGCCTTTTTATTAGTTTGTTCTCTTCTTGTTGTTTTTTTACCTCTCTTTAAACACTAATTACTGAGCCCTTCTCATAGAATTTCTTCCTTCAAAAAATTCTTTATTGTGCATGATACTTGAGAATTTCTTAACTACCTCTCAAATTAATTTAATTTTACCTTCCATTATTTCAATAGCTCTTCATCTATCAATCTTCTATATCTTTGTAAGAATGTATATATTTTTTTGGATGCTAATGTTAATGTTTATTATTTAACTCTAGAACGACACACTTGAATACTTAAACTCATTTTGACACTTTGGTGAGAGGCACATCCCAAACTTTAAATTATCATAAAATTTAATTATGGAAGACTCAAATACTTTTCAGAAATAAGCTTAACAATCATGAAAACAAAAAAATAAATAAATTTAAGTTAACCTAAGAGAATATATTTTATATGCTAAAATAAAGTAAAAAGTTAACATTTAAAATGGACTTAAAATTTAAAAGGAGCCGTATTATACCTTCTGAAAGTCCTTTTTATCATTGATTTTAGTAAATTTAATCACTGCTTACTAAAAAAAAAAAAAAAATTGTCTAATTTACGATAGTTTACTTAGAATTTTATTATCTTGAGCAGGTTTTGACCAATTCCTTCATATTAAATAAAAAATGTGACCACACAAAATCGTTCTTAGCTACGTTTCCATTCGGAATCGGTCCATGCTTCAAATGAACTTTTTTTGTTGGAAATTCTGTCTAGAATCACCCCTCCCCCCCTTCCAGAATTTGTTAATTAAGAAATGATACATCCTGTATAATTACTTAAGCATACTCCTCGCAGGTATGTGGTATCGCGAAAAAGACTGACGTAATATTATTAATATTGACAATTTTTGTTTAAAATTACAAAATAGTATCATATAATCTCCAAGAAGGACTTGAGTAAGAGGCGGATGGCTGTCAAACGGGGTTGAGCATCTATTTTAAAAGACAGTTATATCCTGAGGATTAGCTGCACCTGAATAACTGGAGGAGAAAAATTGCCTCAGGCCATTCTCCTCATTCCTCAATATCCATTTCCTTTTTAAGTTAGTGCTTAATGGACGTATAACAGCAGATTTTTCGATATACAGTCGCACTCATAGAAATTTCATCACCTATTCATTTTGATTCTTATGTTAATAACGTTTTTAACATATGTTTTTTTGTTTTTATTTACTTATTAAAGTTACAAGAAAACTTTAACAATGTTTCTCAGTTCAGTTTTAACTAATACCAGGATTAAAGTTGTAAAAAAAAAAAAAAACCAACCTGACAAAGAGGTAAGAAAACTTCTCCAATGGAATCGTCTCTTGAAAACCTGTCATAATCAAAGACGTGAAGGTGCAATACCCGGCTTTGAAGTTTTTGGATTGGAAAACCTAAAACAAAGAAAAAAAAGTTACATTGCATATATATAAAAGGTTTAGAGAGAAGTTTTATATAGTTGAATGTAGTGTATACCAATTTTTGACAATTGTAGGAGAAATTTTGTCACTAGTTTCCTTTAAATTAAATTTAGTATTTTTAGTAATTTTGATATGTAATAATTATATCATGAAAAATCATAATTACCCTTTTCTTTTCACTGCAGGGCATAAATATGATAACAATAAATGTCTCACAACGTTATCAAAATACAAATCTATATCTGTAGATAAAAAAATAATTTTATTTTGTGACAAAGTCCGCTTAGAATAAGTATAACGACAAAAAAAAGAAAAAAAAAAAATATATATATATATATGGCCAAAAAATAATTTGGCCCACTATATACTGTAATTTAACTAATAGAATGTAAATAATTAAAATAACAAAAATAAAATTTTCTCAATAATATTTGTAGTTGTAATGGAAAAGAAAAAATATATATTGTATATGATAATATAATAATTATATATATACAATTTTCTCAATAATATTTATAGTTGTAATGGAAAAGAAAAAAATATATATTGTATATGATATTATAATAATTATATATATACAATTTTCTCAATAATATTTATAGTTGTAATGGAAAAGAAAAAAATATATATTGTATATGATATTATAATAATTATATATATATATATATATATATATAAATTATTATTGTTATGTATTTAGGCTAGTGATACACGGGGCAGTGGTTATACCATCCCGCACGATTGATCAATGTTGCGGTATAGTATACCTCAATTTAGTATGGATGTATTATTAACCACACTAATCTATTTATTTATATGATAGGTAATTAATTATAACTAATAAGGTTAATTACGACTTAAAAATATTTTGTGGAGCATCATACTTTCAGTAGAAATTAATTTTTAAAAAAGTAAATATACTCATTACTTTAACTATAAATAAAAATCAACGACTATCAATACAAGGCATGATAATTCTGTGTATTTTATATTTTTTGTTTCATAAGCTGAAAATCAATTTCAAGTTTTATCATTATTTTACATGGAAATTAATTAAGTTTCCATTGAAACAATTATTTATCATTCAATAATAATAAAATGAGATATTCGAGACGAAAATAAATAAAATTTGTTAGTTTTTCGCCACTCTCTATAACCTTTTACGTCTTCATATTTTTGATATATATTTTTTCTGAAGTTATGACCTTTTCAGCTGTATATTATACATCTGTTTAAATACTCGCATTTCTTCCCTTTTCTCCTTCAATGGATTACCGAATTCTGTCATAGTTGATATTTATTTGGTTTATATTATTAATGGAAAACACATTTTGAAACTACAGCGTGAAATTTTGTCAAATTATTTCAATACGAACAATACCTAACTGAAATCAAATAATATTTAATTAAACATCGATATAATTTCTATGAAGGCAACACTGGGACTGAAAATCACAAGGAGACTTTGTTTGGAATTTTCGAATGATAATTTTTTATAGCCAGAAAAAATATTAGGAGTTCAAAAACGTTGTATAGGACTCATAATTCCAGATTTTTTTTCTCTCTAAATATTGTTTGTTTAGGAACACATTGAACAAGGAATAAATAAAAAATAAAAAATGTGTATCTTTTGCGATTCATATGTTGTCTTCGCTTTGTCCTCTTAGAAGAATGGTCTGGATTTATTGTCGACTCTCTTATGTGTAAAGAAATATGGAGGGAGGATGGAACAATTTGCATATAAAATGATGGGGTACTGAATTGGCCATTAGGTTATGAGCTCATATTGTTGATAGGGATTTATTGACGCTCTGCCCTCTTCATCAAGTTATTAAGGCGGTTTCCCTTCCCCATTGTTGAAGTGGAGGTAAATGGTTTTCTTAAACATATAATTAAGAAGCAATGTTTTTTCTTTTTAATATTTTTTTGCAACTTTTATTTTTTTTATTCACACCTGCCATAATGGTAATGACAAATAGTTGAAAAACATAATGGCATGTAAAGCATGAGGGAAACAGGACCCAGCGGCACCTCTTATTTGCGTGATATCTACATTAGCCGAGGAGGTCTCTCATCCAGCTCCTCTTCAGCCTCCTAGGACGTTACCTGGCATTTTCGTAGTGGCCATGTAGTGTGTTAGGATGTCCTTGTAAATTGTCGTGGAATCGTCTGTAATAAGCTCGTATGTGTTTGTTAACAGTAGGCATATGCAGGTCAGTATGTAAGGTTAAGTTGTTAGCTTAGCAAGGTACTTTTGTAATTGTCCTGAATGTCTTTCCTTGAAATATTTGAAGTTTGTTTATGTGAGTCTTTTTAGCTGGTCCAAATAGATTTTAGTAAGTAATTGTAAGCGTTCAATTTCTGTCTAAGTTTTAGTTTTGAATGTTTCGAAAGAAGTGAATTCAGAATTTCGAGTTTTTGATTTAGCGTTTTCTTCTTCTTTGATTAAATTTAAATTAAATTGGAACTTTGATGTGTCTACGGTTGAACAAACCTTTTTGTCTTTTCTTTTTTCTTTTCTCCCCTTCCTCACCTTTTAGGCTATACGGGGTTTTCCCGAATCAGGGAGTAAGGGCGCAGGATTAATGCCAGAGTTAAAAACCATCCTGACACCGGGACGCGAACTCGTACTTATTTTATTCCATATAACTTCCGATATCAGGTTAGCGGGAAACGCGTGATGATGTGCACACGCGTTAGCTAGCTCGGCCACCCAGCCCTTAACATTGAACAAATAGACTTGTTCTTCTAATTACAGGTATAGTCCGTGGCACGGACCTCTTTGTGTCAAAATATTAACATCCACCTGAAACTTCATAAGCTTCATGAGATGACACGCTTCATCTCACCGTAATCTACAAATATTTTATTTACAAAAATTTTTGGAATTGGGCCGTCTCAATCTAGAACTATTGGCAAACTTTATCTATTTAATTAGGTATTAAAAATTATTAAAGACCGACTTGCTTTATACTTTAATCGTAAGATAACTTAAGCACAAATTCAAAATTTGAGTCAAAATTACGAGGTTACATAGGCTCAATATTTTTAAAGGCCACATTTTTTTCTTGTACCACGGACAATTAATAGGACTTAAGGAATCACTTACAGACCATTTCATACAGGTAGTTAGATTATTTCTTTCTTCCGAAATAATTATCCTAATATATTTATAAAAAAAAAAATCTTTTTGGCAACAATTGGGGCTGAAGCCCCTCTCCCCAAAATTATATACTGGATCCGTTAGTGGTCAAAAGTTCGCTTGTAGTAAATAGTTCTCACTATTTAATATTTTATCCATAAACGCCAGTCTAAACATAGATTGAAGATTGAAATGAATATCAGAGTTCCTGTGTTTTGTACATACCTTTCATCTCTTAATATTGTTCTAATCTCTGTGGAGCGAAGAGATATGTTCGTTTCACTTCACTTTAATCATAATTTAACGATGCACCGATGGTCATGGAAACTGCATTTTGATAGCGCGTACGAAACGAAGCGTGAGATATTTAGAGCAAATTTAGAGATAACTATCGGCCGATAAGAGATTGTACAGTTATGGATGGCTTATCGTCATAAGGCTAAAGACGAGCCATTAACAGAGGTCCAATGGTTTCGATAATGGTATTCATAGCCTAATTTAATAGTTCAAAGACCACGTAGCTTCTGTATCTACTTAGGGTTGTAATAGCTTGCCTAAATTATTGAGAAACTTCAAAATGCCCTCACCGAAATTGAGTTATTACAGGCATCACTATTATTAAGATAGTATTAGAGTTATGTGGTAAGGGAGAAGATAACACACGCTCTGTTTAACCCTTCTTGGTTGAGTTTATACACGCAGTTATGTTCGGCTCAGCTAACAGTAACTATTAATAACTGACAAATATAGTCCGTGGTACAGACCCATTTTCATAAAATTATTAACATCCGCCTGAAACTTCGTAAATAACTTCATCTCATCGTGACTTACAAATATTTTATCTACGAAAATTCTTGGAATTGGGGCGTTTTCAATCTAGAGATCATCAAACTTTATTTATTTAAATATTTTTTTTATTTTATTGTTTTTTATTGTTTTATTGTGTATTAATACAGTCTGCCACACTGAAGGGCATTGGTACTAGGGCTATAATATTCATCCACACAATATGTACATAAGAAAGGAAAATAAATAAAAATAACCAAGTAAAGAAGAGAAAGAAAAAGAAAAAAAATAGATTTATAAATAAAAAGATAAAGTAATACACAAGCTAAGTAAAATAACAGATTTATTTAATTAGGTACTAAAAACTCGTGAATATCCATTTGCTTTCCACTCGAATCGTAAGATAATGTGATAGCGAACTCACGAAAAAAGACGGCCTTCAAAAATATTGAGCCATTTGGCATGAACCTACACTCCCGAAATGTACAAATAACGAGATTGTATAGGCCAAACGGCCCAATATTTTTGTAGGAAACTTTTTTTTTTTTGAACAAAATATCATACGATCCAAGTGGAAAACAAATGGGTATTTACGAGTTTTTAGTATCTAATTAAATAGACAAAGTTTGACTATCTCCAGATTAAAAACGCCCTAATTCTAAGAATTTTTGTAAATAAAATAGTTGTAGGTTACAATGAGATGAAGCTATTCACGAAGTTTCGGGCGATGTTAATAGTTTGATAAAAAGAGGTCTGTACCACGGACTAATATTTTAATGGTGGGTTGATGGTTGACTGTAGTGAATAATGAAGAGAAGGATAGTGGGGGGTGATCAGTCAAAATAAAAATGGCAAAAATAAATAATAATATTTATTTTAATATTATTATTATTTTTTTTTTTACTGATCACCCCGACTAATATTTTAACTATTATTATGAGGAGAAAAAAAAAAAATGATTTTTAATATTAATAAAATTATATTACGCGGTGTAGACACAATTATTAAAACTCGTCTAGAGCTTCATTTTACCGTAACGTACATCTACAAATTGACGATAAAATGAAGCTCTAGACGATTTTTAATAATTTAACAAAGAGTGTCTATACCGCGGAATATAATTTTATTAATATTAAAAGTCATTTTTTTTTCACCTCATAATAATAGTTAAAATATTAGTCGGGGTGATCAGTCAAAATAAAAATGGCAAAAATAAATAATAATATTTATTTTAACATTTGCCGACGTTTCGATCCGAAGTTCAGGCCTTCGTCAGGGCTGATCGAAGAAATAGCTTGAATATAATACAATGATTCTATTTGAATAGAATACAATCATTCTATTCAAGCGATCTCTTCGATTACCCCTGATGAAGGCCTGAACTTTGTGTCGAAACGTCGGTAAATGTTTATTATTTATTTTTTCCATTTTTTTTTTTTACTGATCACTCCAACCATCCTTCTCTCTATTATTCACTACAGTCAAACATCAACCCACAATTAAAATATTAGTCCGTGGTACAGACCTCTTTTTATCAAACTATTAAAATCCGCCCGAAACTTCGTGAATAGCTTCATCTCATCTTAAACGTAGAAAATGGCACCGAACCTAAAAAATATGACGATAAAATTGATTATTGGATTCTTAATTAGGGAATAAAACTTCAATCGATATTAATTTTTCGCAAATATATAATTTAGTCCTGGTTTCATTGTATAAAAATAGTATTCGACATTAATTACAGCTTTCTTTTAAATGGGGCTCCATTGAAAGGAAAAAAAAAATGTCCTCTACGGTTTAATTAAATGCCTGTAAACCATTCATAATTCAGCCTTTTGAATTTTGCTTCATTAAGGACACGATGACCTCCGAAATAGCCCTGTATAAAAGACCCACTTAAGACTGAAAAAGTGACAGTGTATAATTCTGTACGAATAATTAATGTATTTAGCGAGCACAAAGGGTGAGTTTAACATGCCTCACTATTGATACTTCATAACACAAATGGAATTAGTGAGCTAGAAATAAGCTTTTTTCGGTACATAGTTATCCTCATCGAACTACTATTTGATTCCTATTTTGTTATAAAGTAAATTTCAGACCCATATGCGCTTTTTTAAGGTGAAATTTTTTTGAATATTATAAAATAAGGCTCTGTTTATTTTTTCACCATATTTATTTTAATTTTCATAGCTACGTTTCGGCCGATATGCCATCCTCAAGCCATCTATAATATAAACACCATTAATTCTGTATTTGAATGTAATTCTGCACTCGATGAAGGTGGTATTAGTCATATTAAATTAAATATTCTATAAATTATAACTCTAATTAGGTTGTCAATTAAAAAAAAAAAAGATTTTTTTAATAAACTCAGCCAGTTAAATTGTAAATTAATAATACCACTAGATAGAATGAGGTTGCTTTTTTATTCAAATACATAAGCATCAAGTTAAGATCAATATATATAAATTATTTTAGATTTTAAAACTTCCTTACTTACTCAACCATGCTTTTTGCATGTAGTCCAAAGACTAATTAAATTTTAAGTGTGGTTGGGAGGTTGCACATTGTTTATATATATATATATATAATATATATATATATATATATATATATACACATATGTAACATGGTTGAATAAAGTAAGGAAGGTTTAAAATCTAAAATAATTTATATATGTTCATCTTACCTTGATGCTTATGTATTTGAATAAAAAAGCAACCTCATTCTATCTAGTGGTATTGTTAATTTACAATTTAACTGGCTGAGATTATTACAAAAATTTTTAAAAAAAAATTGACTTAACATAATCAGAGTTATAATTTATAGAATATTTAATTGAATATGGCTAATACTACCTTCATAGAGTGCAGAATTACATTAAAATACAGAATTAATGGTGTTTATATTATAGATGGCTTGAGGATGGCTTACCGGCCGAAAAGTAGCTATAAAGATTAAAATAAATAAGATGAAAAAATAAACAGAGCCTAATTTTATAAATTTCAGATCCATTCTTTTTGGATGGAAATATCATTTAAAAAATCGGATGGAAAAACTATTCGCATATATTTGAATAAAAACATCATCAATTATTTTTTGAGAACGGAAACATTTTCAACTAAAAACGACATGGCTTGTCAATAATTGTAGTTAAAATTAAATAATGTGTAACTTACTTTTCATCGTGTATAATGGTAATGTACTATTCCATACCATTACCATTTGTCCTTATTTTATTTATTAGATAGTTTTTTTATTTTTTATTTATATTCTATGCAATTTTCACCTGCGCATCTAGCAAATTTCTTGTATTTATAGAGTCTCGGTGTATTTGCTTGATTTTGTTTTTATCGATATAGTTGGTCTCTTGGCCATTTTCTTCTTAATCTGCGTCGTTCAGGTAACAGGGCGCAGAAGATAGAAAGAACCAGAGGATTGGAGTGATTTTGGATTGAAGAATGAAATGTGGTGTATTTGTCGTGGGTGTAGGATGTTACTGTTGGGGTGTTTAAGTCGTTATGTATAGTATTATTTGAAATGTAGCGAGGTGCGTTAACAATTTTTCGTAAAATTTTCGTTTGTGCTGTTTGTATTTTGTTTATGTGTGTTTGTTTCGCCGAAACCCAAAGTTCTGCTCCATATGTCCATGTTGGTCTCAGTAAGGTGTTGTAGATCAGTCGCTTGTTTCTTAAGTTAAGTGAAGATCTGTAGTCCAGAAGATACGAAAGTTGGCTATACCGTCTAGTAAGTTCTTGGCTTTTTAATTTCGTAAGTATGTTCCAAATAAGTCTTTTGTCTAAGTAGAGTCCATAGATTATTGGCAATCGTTATAAAAAAATTAAATAATTAGTTTTCGTCCTATAAATACAACAAGTCAACGTCAACTCCGTGCTCAATGTTATAATGTTATTATCATAATTTAATAATAACGTCACATATTATTTTATTTTAACTATAATTAACTTGAAAATTAGAAATAGTAACTTTCGACATTTTTAAAACGCAATACTAAATTAGTAGGGCCTTCGAATCATTTATAGCTTTTAATAAAAACGAATTTCATTGCGATACTACTAAATTTTTTTCCAAAGCAATTCTGGCTTATACCCATATTGTACTTTGACGAGATAATTTATGAATGATGAAATAGATTAAATAATCATATGCCACAGCCAGACTCGAAGCTGGATGCACAGTACCTTAATCACTGAACTATCCTTCATTAAAATTGATAGATGTGATTAATTTAATAGTGAAAATTACTTCGATGTTAAAACATTTGCTAAGAATGTACGCAGATAGTCATGTAGCGTAAAATTGTGCTGCAAATGACATGATAATACGTTATTTTTTCCCTTATATCGTGTAAAATCTATCCAATTTTTCAGGCAACCTGTTGTGATTACAACTCGGGCTTTAATCACTGATTTTACTGGCTCTGTTACCTTATAATTTAGCACAGTTTCACGAGATACCGTGCGATAAGAATACCTTTGCATATTTTCAGAGAGTGACAATTATAAATCTGATTTATCTTCCAATTTTCTTTATCGAACCTTTTTTTAAACGTGCCTACGCCCGGTTATTTATACTTTTCGTTATCCTCATTTATTAAGTTTTTTATTTTATATCAGGGAGAAGTATTTGACAGAAATTAATTGTTTTAATACTTTTTAATTATCCTTTTACTTACTAATTAATTGGTTCAGCTTACTGATATAGTTCTCAAATATACAAAAAAAAAAAAAAAAAAATCTTCACAGTTATTGAAACAAGATAAAGTAAACATATTTTGTTATTCAATTATCGTTCCAATGAGACCCCAATCCTTAAAACATCCGTCACTCCAAAACCCTCCCCACCTTTACATTTCGCCTATTCAATAAATTTCTATCCACCCAATTTCCCAAAAAACTGTAAATAGATGTCTCAGTAAGTAAGTATATAACTTTTAATATACTATTTTTATTTTTATAATTAATGAAGTATTACAATGCTTATAAAACTTATTACAAGAGTTATAACATAAAGTTCAAGTATTCCCAATAAATTACATAAAAACAATAAAAAAAAAAGATAATTAAAAAGAACCCAAAACAAAGAATTAAAAAAACAATATAAATATTAGCCACAACATTCTTCTTGGAGGCGTTGAAGACCAACTTCAAGAATAAATTTCTTCATCTCCTTATCATATTTCTAGAAAATATCCTTTTCTTTTAACGGCCATTTATATCTTTGGAAAATTATGCTTCTTATTAAATGTCAATGTATACTGTCGAAAATATGGCAGACACATAGAATAGAATAGAGTATTTTTTTAAATTTTGTTGTACATAGAGTGTGAATGTGATCTCTGAACACTATTATAAACACTATGTCCTTTGAGACAGATTTCAATATTTTTCAATAAACAAGTTAATTTTTTTTTTATTATCCTTTTAATGTATTTTTTTCTCTTTTTCTTTTTACAAGTATCTTATATTTTTGTTGTTATTTTATCGTATGTGTTTTTTACTTAGATGTTTTCTTCTTATTTCTTTTTTTTCAATCTGTATATAATAGTATGTATGTACAGATAGAGCCTTAATGCCCAATGGCCTTGATTGTGGCAGATTGTATTATTATTATTCCAAAAAAAAATTATAAATATAAAAAATATGCCCAAGACTAAGCCAGTCAAGAAAAACATCAATACCTTTATGAACGACAGAAGTATTTCTTCTGTATTGTAACAGTTTATAGGTATTTATGTGTTCGTTTTATTCATTTATTTTTAGGTTATTTTATTCTTATTTATTGTATGATTTTTCTGTTCAATTTATTTTATTTATTATACATAGAGTGTGAATGTAATCTGTAAACACTATTATAAATGTCCTTGAGACAGAATGTAATATTTTTCAATAAATAAGCAAAAAAAAAAAAATATTGTAACAGTAAAAGTATTTTGTTATAAAATTCCTTGGCTTCTCCAGGTTTTCAAAGATGTTTTTGAAAAATCCCAGGTTATCGAAGTATTTGTAATTCTTTCAGTATATAACTGATCTTTATTTTAATCATTTTACATAACAATACAAATTTACAAATTTTAAATATAGTAGACCTTATACAAAAATATGTAAATAATTTGTATGATATACCTACAAGATTATAAGCTGTAGGAGAATAAAAATTAGAAATTATTCGTAAAACGCCACCATCATGACTCGTTGAGAGTTAAATAACAAGAGTCTGATTGGTTATAAAAAGAAATAATTTTTGGTTCGATTTTTGAGCAAATATTTAAAAATTATGCAGAGAAATATGAAGATAATTTAATTAATTATTCATAATAATTATCTTAATGAAAACAAATAAAGCGTTTTTTTTTGTTTATAAATGTAATCAAATACTATGCATATGAAAGATAAATAATTGATGACTTTTAATCTAAGATATTATAAATAACCATATTATCATGACGTATTCTAATTCTCGATGTTGACATTAACAGCATTGCTCAATTAATATTATTTAAATTAATCAATTTAACAGGACAGTTGAAATTCATTTTAATCACATTTTAGCTCACTTTTCCATCTAGTTGCTCTAAATATTACATTACGTCATTTCTGTACATTATAGTATGAACAAAAAATAATACATTATAAATAAAATAATCACATCTTTTTTTATATTTAAGAGCTAGAGCATACCTTCGAAATAAAATGTTTCGTTCCATCTCGGATTCAGCGTTCTCCTTTTTATTTTTGTTTCGAGCCTGTGTTTCTTGTCGGGAAGGAGGGTGACTCGAACGTAAGGGTCAGAGGTTCCACTCATGTCTTTAGCGGGGAGTTCCTTGGCCTGAAAGATAATAAATAATATTATTAACTTTATTATAAATATTAATACAAAATTATTATAAAAAAATATTCATTGCAAGTTTTTTTTTTTTTTTTTTTTTGTCTATAAAATATGTATTTGCGCCTGTCAACAATAAGTTGACAATCAGCAAATGTGATGGCGATAATGATATAATGACATGACAGGCATGGGGAAGTACTCAGCAGTACCTCTTCCCTAACTTGTTCCAATTACTTAGGTTGTCTAAGGAAGGAGATCCCTCATCCAACGCCTTTTTAGTCTCCTGCTCATGTTCTGAGGTATGTCAGCTGTGGCCATATCTCTTATAAGTCTGTTATTATATCCATTTAAATTTGTGTAAAATCGTTGATATAGGATCGTTATATGTTGGTCAACTGTTGGAAAGTGGAGGTCAGTATGTAGAGTTTTGTTAGTCACTTACCAAGGTGCTTTTGTTATGAGTCGCAATAATTTTGATTGGAACGTTTGAAGTTTTTGTAGGTGGGTCTTTTTAGCGATGCCGTATATTTGTGATGAGTATGTCCATATGGGCTTAAGTAAGTATGTATATGTATTAAGTTTCTGTTTTAGTTTTAGTTTTGAAGATTTGGCAAAAAGAGAGTAAAGTAGTTTGAGTCGTTTGTTAAGTGTCATGCGTTTCATTTTAACATGTGGGCCCCATGTCATCCTTCTGTCGAAGGTGAGTCCAAGGTAAAGTACCGTGTCCGTTTGAGGAATTTGATTGTTGTCAACATAAACTGGAGGACAGGTGTTTTTTCGAAGAGTAAATGTTATATGTTTGGATTTGTCATGATTAAGTCGACATATTGCAAGTTGAAATTGAAATTCATTGAGATTTTCTAAATTCAATTCTTCAACTACCATGTAATTATACAAACCATAGTCGGATGAAAAAATAATTTTTATGTATAAAATCCTACTGAATCATACGTAATTGATGATATAGGTTATGTTCATATCTAAGGTGGGTACAATGTTGGTAAATTAATATTTTTAAAAATGATGATCAGTATAATAAATAATAATAATAAATAAATAAATAATAATAATAAATAATTATAAATTAATCTTATTTTTTTATTTTAAATAAATATTTTTCTTTTATTTGTAGTAAATTAAATCGTGTAATTTATTTTTTTGGGGGGGTTTAAGCTATGTTTACCCATGGTTGATTCTCAACACAGGTTTGTTCATAAATATTTTTAATGAGGGATGAATAAATTTATCCATGAGTGGCGATGAAAATAAATTTATTAATATTAATGAATAAACCCTATTGTATATAGGTATGTATGTGTTCTTTTTATTCATTTATTTTTAGGCCATTTTATTCTTATTTATTGTATATATATTATGTTTCTGTATAATTTATTTTATTTACTGTACATAGAGTGTGAATGTGATCTGTGAACACTATTATAAATGTCCTTGAGACAGATTGTAATATTTTTCAATAAATAAGAGAAAAAAAATATTAGCTCAATAAAACAACAATAATAATTGAGTAATCATACACAAAATTTTCAATGCTATTAAATTGAAATTTTAAATCTGATAAAAAACACCATACGTGAAGACCTGTAAATTTTGAAAGCTCGTTTCGAGCTTGGTTTCTTTCTTTACAATAGTATTGTTTAATATATTTTCAAGTAGTTTTGTCATTGAAAAGTCGTAATAGAATAAATAACACTTACTGCACAATGTGTAAATAAACTTCGAAATACATTTCATAAATTGAATTAATACTGAATAGAGAAATAAAAATCGTTAAGCGAGAAATAAAAATCTTTATTATTTCACTTCATTTATACATTTAAAGTGAATAGTTTTTCAAGTGCGCTAACTATCTATGGAAAATGTGTAGAGCAGAAATAGTTATAAACTTTGACTGTCAGTTTAAAGTTTAACTTTAAGGTATGCATAATCTCAACTATTTTTGTTCCGAGTCTAGAGTAACCAATTACCTTAGTCTTTGCACTTGCTGTAAATAAGTTTCAAACAAGCGACAGTTTCCTCCATGCTTAAAGGATGAAATTACAATTCTGATGTTACTTAATGGTTGATAACAAGGACTTAATTAGAAGGAAATAAGGTAAAATTTAAAGAATTTTACTGAAAAAAACAACAAATATTTGTATCATTTAGTAATGTATTTTTTTTGCGAGAAAAAGTGGAATTTGACAATATTGGTTCTGGACTATTCGTATATCAGTCCGAAAACTTTGATCAAAATCGGCAAGCCATTTTCAAAATAGAAGAATACGTTTGCGCGAGTAAAAATGACAGTTAATGGAATACTATAAAACTGATAAGGGATAGAAAATTCCTAATATTTGGAAAACATTAAGGGTCTTGTTTAGATTAGGCTCGCCAGTGATTTTTTAAAACGATATTTAGTAAAAGCTATTATGCAAATTGATACCATTGATATATAAATAAAATGAAATGTTTGAATATTATTTAATTTAGTATTGTTTGTGTCAGAAATACGACCATCAGAGAAAATATGGAGGCTAAAAGAACCGTTCTGGAAGAGACTGAAATAAAACGCCTGGAGTGGTTTTATTTGAAAAGAATTCCTGAAGGAAGACTACCCAAAGAAGTCCACTTATGGAAAACTAGCGAAAGAAGAAGACGAGACAGAACAAGGAAGACCTGGGATAACGAAGTACAGGAATCCAGGATGGGTCATAGTCTATGGGAAGAATAGACCTTAGATAGAACATTATGGAAAGATCCATCCAAGCACTTTAGGTTAAGAAAACCCACTATCAGTGGAAACTCGTATTAAAAAAAAATATATATATGTTTGTGTAATTGTGGTTATAAAGTGATAACAAGATGAATATTTTTGAAGTCTACTATTTATGAAAAGAAGAGGAACGAGCCAGGATTTTCTTTGAAGAATGAGGAATTCTACCTGAAGAGGAATTCTAAAGAGGTATCTGGAGTAATTCATTAAAAATATGTTAATGTTTTTGGTTATGTATAAAAAGGTCCTATTAAATAAATCATATGTTTCTTTAACCCATATTTTTTAATTTATCAACAAGTAACTGTTACTATATAAACTAACTGGCTGGCGTAATCTAAATAACACCCAACATTAAAATATGATTAACGATAATAAGTTTTATTCTTATGGATTTGACAACATTCCAAAAGATACACACGGAACCAAATCTAATAAAAAGTAAAACTCGATAACATTTTTCTATTCAGAGTTCATTATTTTTGTTCTTCAGTTTTTGAATGATTTTAATGCTTTTCTATATTATTAAGAACCATCCAGAGAAACTTTAAAGTTGACATTCTACATGTGGAGAGAAAAGCAAGATACCAGGAGTTCTCATCGCTTCTCTCTCAACCGCCAACCGCGCTATATTTTGGGTTTTCAGAAACGTCAAAATAGGAAGATTATTAGGTTACTTTTCTCATGCTTCCGCACCAAAAAAAAAGTTATTGAGGGAATACAATTATTGATTAGTATAATTTAAGGGATAGTTGTGTCTTATTGCCTAACAATGGGAAAAGTTATCTAAGTAATCACTTATTTAAGTAATTTGTAATTTTAAAACTTGAAGTAATTTACCAGCCTTCAGAGCATTGTCTTGATAATATTGCATTATATGTAGAAATAAATATGTTTTACACATGTTGCTTATACGTCAAATGCACTAAGAAGAAAGATAGCTGTCTAATAAGGAAGGAGATGGTCCGGTGTGGCGGTCATAAATGGACTAAATAGTGGCAAAACTATTTTATTAAAAGTCAACGTTTATATATTAATGTACTTACTGTTTACAATTTAATAAGTTTATTCACATTGTTTATAATTTTTTGTCTAAATATTATGTAACTTCCACAATTCTCTATATCTTTTTGTATCTTGTTCGTTCTAGCCCTGAAGAAGACCTGCAAAGTCGGGTTGAAACGATGGCTTTTAATAAAATAGTTTTGCCACTATTTAGCCTATTTATGACCGCCAACCCGGACCATCTCCTTCCTTGATAATGCAACGGTCAACTATTAAATATTCAATGTGTGAGTTATTAGGGTATACTAATATTATATCAATACTAAATATGCAATAAGATACTTTAAGAGTAATTTTGGAATTATTATTTGTTATTTATATTATTCCAGACTAAGCTATTTTATTAACAACGAACAATTATTCTAATTAGGAAGAGAACGACAATTTAGGTGGCGAATATTCCCAATTCCATGAAAAGAGTTGTTCAAGCAATTGGAGCAGGGTATATCTTCAAGGGACGAAATTACCAAGTCTGCTAAAGTGTCTCGTAACTAAGGAGCTCTTTTACATTTTATACGAAATTACATTAATTAGAAAGAAGACTTGAGAATTGCCTTTGCAAGGGAGAGGGGAGGGGGTCAGCTTGCGGTTCCGGAGAGACTGGAGCCTGGAGCAAAAAACTGGAAGCCATAACCCTTCTCCCTCTGGAGGAGTTGTGGCTTTCGTTTGAACTGGAACTGGAAATACGGATTTAATTTTAACCGGGGTCCATTACAGATTCTGGTTGAGTTGTGGTTCTCCTGCCAACAACAGTTGTTTAATTGTAATCATTCATTAGTTAGTGTTTTTCATTAAGATGATTTTATTAACTTGGAAGTTTAGATTATGATTATTTAAATTATTGTGTTTGGATTTTCGTTCGTGGGTGAGCCCCATCGTATAATTAGAAATTGGAAATATTGAACATAAATTACTATAAGAACCTAAACTTCTTTAAAATGCAGAAAAAGTACTTTTGAGACCTTAAAACAAATAAAGTTTACTTTTTTTCTTTCTTTTATTTACTTTATTCATCAGTATTATTTATTTAGTTTTTGTATTTATATTTATTTCTCTATTATGTGTATATATTGTATGAATGAGAACTCTGAGCCCTAATACTTATAGCCCTCCAGCAGTGGCTGATTGTATTATTATTCAATAAATAGATAAAAAAAAATAAATATATAAAAGGACAATATATAAGGGGCTACCGAAAAAAAAAATTGAGAAGTTTATTTGCATAAACAATAAATTTA